TATTTTTGGGAGTCTCAGGTAGAAATTGCAGTGGACGCACCCAGACACTCCAGTATGGTTGTAAGCCAGTTCTTTGAACAGAGCAATAAAGTAGATCCATTTCCTGAAGTCTAAATCTAGACTGGAAAGGGTCTGCAAATTATTATTTTCATTTAAAATTGGTTTCTTTCTATTCATCGATCTGTCTTGCCCACGAATGGTTAGCCGTGTTTCTTTCAACACGTGGTATAAATATTCATAGGCTTGAGCACCCTTGTCTCATTCTCCCAATCCAGAGCTCTCATTTTGATGGTGATAATCCTTAATTAGCCCATCCCTGATTTGATATATTAGTTGCCATAAATTGAATTGATGATGAAGGTAAATCCTACTGTATGTCTCTAGTGAGGATTTACACTAGAGCCCCTCTAGACTAGAGCGATGAGACACCGTGGCTTTCATATTTGCTATAACTAATAATCTAAAGACATGTGGCAATTAATGCAATGGCATATGCACTATGGTGCAGTGGGGCATTTTCACAATACTAGGACTATTCAGATACTAAGAATTTGGAAGTTTTAAATGAGGTACATACATTTCATTAGAAGTTCTAGTTGCTGCTTTCTGTCATGGATTCTAAGACTCCAGTTAGATGCAGGAATACATAACTGTCATCTTCCAAAGGAAAAGAAGTAACTCCTTTTAAAATACAAATTATGGTATCCAGTTAGCTTATGAAGCTGCCAAATCTCAATTCTTGTTATGATGATCCATTAGAGACATATCTCCAAAGTCTTAGACCCAGTGGATTGTTCTTCCCATCAACCTATTTTTTATATATTTTATATTAATTGTCTTTATGACCCTTGTTTCTTTTCCTTCCTTCACTACTTCCTCACTGTTTCTAACAAACAGCAAACATATTTCCATATTGGAAACTGCCTTAAATATTCCTATATAAAAATGTTCTACTGGGCACTACAAATTGCTATAGTACACCACTGACTCATTAAAAAGGCAGGCTAAGAAAACTGCTATGCTGAGATAAAGTTGACATGTGTCATGTGTAAGATAGATGTCATAGTGCCAAGATGAAGAGCCTATGTAGATCTGGCCCAGATTTTGTATTACAGGTGTGCATGTTTTAAATTAATATAAAGAGAAATGTTCATGACACATATGGCCATCAAAGAGGGCATTTTCTACCTTTGACTTTAGTTTAAAGAAAGGCAAGCTCTTCATATCAAAAGCTGAACTTCTACGGAAACCAATTTGTAGGTTTTTTTTAAAAAAAAATTACTGCCATATATTTTCTATTATTAAAAAAAAGTGTCTAATGTTACAATGGTAGCGGGATCTCATATATAATTTGATATTTGTTGTCTGTGTAATTTCAGTTGAATTTAATATCCTTTGACTGTCCTGGACCCAGTAAGGGTCATAAACTTTTTAATGGGTATCTTTAACTTCCCTTGTCCATTGACTGCATTTCCTTAGTGCTGATATGTGTAATGATTAACCAATAAGTGGGCTTTTGGGCACAAAGTACAATTGATCTGTGGAGCCCTTTGAAATGGATGCTGTGAAGACTGACCCTCCATTCTTATGCTAAGACACATATCTAGATCTGATGTTACATCAAAAGGGTTAACACAGTACAGCTTCAAAAAGCTGCTTTAGCTATACAAACACTGTACAATAGGCGTAGATTGACCAGTGAAATTTATAAGGGAACACAAGAATTCCTCTCTTCCTCCAAGCTTAAATGTATTAAATTCTGAACTAGCCTCCCCAAAATTTGAATTGTGAGATTGAAAAGTTTTATTATATAGCAGATATTTTGCAATAGAAAAGGTGAAAAGGCAAAATAGAAAGGCTACAGCAAATGTTGATTGCGTAGTATTCTGTTTAAAATTTGACAAGACAAACTGTACAGAATCCCACCTTGGAAAAGGTCTTACTGGGAGAAAAATCAGGTGAGAAGTTTTTGAGAAGCATCCCCACATTGACTACAACTCCTCAAATCCTTAGCCATATGGGTTGTCTGAGGAACACTGGATTGGGGAATGCTGATCTAGGATGAGCAGCAAGTGTTAAAAGGACAGCATCACTGCTGCTGCTTCTGAATAAACATGAACAGACATGCACTAATATTCCTCACATTTTTCTTCTCCCCCTAACAATTATTTCTTTAAACATCAGCACAGGGGCTCTAAGTTAGATTTCCATGTTCTTTTGAAGTACTTAAAGGTGCTTCTAAACTAGGTATATATTTGGAATCACAAGATCACTCAGGCGCAGAAAACAGTTACCATTTTAGACAGCTATAAATTGAAATCTCTAGATCCACATTTTTTTTGAGAGGAAGCCCCACTGAGTCTAACAAAAACTCTGCTCCCTTGAAATGTTGGGTTTTAGGGCTGCACTCTAGAGCAGAAAAAAATATGGAGAAAACATAGTGGCATGATACTATAGAGCACCCACCTGAATAAGCATAAACAAAGAGGGAGGACTGGAGCCTTCGTATTTCAATCTAGTAATCTTACCAGATTTCTCTAGTTGATCATTAAATACACATGTAGGCTGATCCTTCAAGGATCTACATATGTTCAGATACTATGGTTGTAGAGTCTCTAAAATGTTCCATTCTGAAGAATTAGAACAATTGCATATACAATACCACCACTGGAGAATGGTAGGATCATTTATGGTTCTACCAGTGGGATTTTTCTGAGTTTCTAGTATGTTGCATAAACCAATGGCATCTGCTTATGCTCAGGCAAATATTAACTATTAATTATTTTCCCCAACCTGATTCTCACTAAATGTGTCTAATTCCCATAATTCTCATCAGCACCAAGTACAGTACATTTAAAGGTCCAAGATAAAAGAGGGCTAGATTAAATTAAAGACCAGGATCTTTTGTAGATTTTATGAATAGCTGCAAACTCATATTTTTCACGGGTCAAATACAGAGCTGGAAATTGAGTGGCCACAAATATCTACAACTTCCAATTGTTTTGAGGAACAACCCCAAAATATAAAAGTATGAAACAATGCTAATACCATGTTGCAAAGAAAAAGCTTATCAGATCCTGGCTCTGTTCATGATGAGATGAAGTTCCTCTGGCTCTGCTTGCTCTCTCCAAGCATTGAATTTTAATCTTGACTTTCAAAACACTGATTAGCCTAAGAACACTTACTGGAAAGATGTGCACAATATAGCTTCATACATTTATAGCTAGTTGCCCCTTCCAATTAAAAAATGGCACTCAGGCAACTGGTTATAAAAAAAATAGCTCTTTTTAGGTCTTACGGAGGCATCTGACTTTGGAACAGGCCTCATGAGCTACTACCGGTATCTTGCACTATATTTGTCTTTAAGGACTGGGACAGAAATGTCTTCAACTCACATAAATGAGCATATATATGTAAGAGACCATAGCAGATGATTAACTATTTTTCTTGCTCGAAAGTATTTTTGTGGGAGACTGAAGCCACTATGGCTTTAAGTCCCACAATTGTTATATATTGACAATGAGTGCTGGCTGGTACATATTCTCCTGCAACCTGAGTTATCACCTGTAACTGATTGTTGGGATGAGGGTCAGCAGAGAAAAGGGAGAATGGAAAAATGTAATCTTTTTGTGAGGTAACATAGTTTTAAGAATTTCCATTAATATTCCTCACTGGCAGCATTCACACAACCTACTTCACCTGGGTACTAATTAACTAATTTTCTGGATTTGCAAATATAATGATCCATAAGTTAATGCAATGAGCTATGTTTTTACAAAATGCTGGGCCACAAAAACCCCTAACCAAGGTTAAAACTAATAAAGCTTGTAATGTTTTACAAATGCTGGCCCTGCCAAGTCATTACTTAACCAGGATAAACATGCTGTGTGAACCCAGCCATGACTTATGTCAGCTTCTGATTTTTCAGATATCAGATGTAAGTACTATGGGCAGATAAGGAAGACCTTTTAGCCCCAGATGGGGCTACAATCTAAAAGAAGCTAATCCTATTCCAGATGTATACCATATCCATATCCCCATCCTCTGTTAATTTTTTTTTTTTAATTTGATTTATATGCCGCCCTTCTCCGGAGACTCAGGGCGGCTTACAATGCGTTAAGCAATAGCCTTCATCCTTTTGTATATTTATACAAAGTCAGCTTATTGCCCCCACAAACTGGGTCCTCATTTCACCTACCTTAGAAAGGATGGAAGGCTGAGTCAACCTTGAGCCTTGGAGATTCGAACCAGCAGAAATTGCAGGCAGCTGTGTTAATAACAGGGTGCGTATACCACTGTACTATCAAGGCTCTTGTGTCAGGAGTAAGTGTCTCAGTGTCAGGAGTAAGTGCACTATCCAGGCTGCATGCAGCTTCACTAGCACAGTGTTCCCCCAAATTATACCAGGCTTCTTGGCCTAGTTGTCTATCTATCTGGGTCACTGTATGAGTGCTAGGGTTTCGGCTAGTTAATTCTAGCAACCTACATATAGGTCAGAGAGCAGATATTGCAACTATTAAACAAAAGCATGAGCAGGGCATTTTATCCAGGTTTGTACTCTTAGTTGATAATATTTTTTCTTCTGGGTATCCAGAAAACATCTCCTTGTCCTTCAGAGTTACTGGTATTCAACCTTTATTATTCCCAAACCAGCAAGGTCAAAAACTTCTTGGAAACTATGGTACTTGAAGTTCCAGAGATCTAGAGAGAGTTCAGTTGAAGATAGTGTGACCTTTTAGCTTAATCTAAGAATGAAAATATATTAGATTTGGTCCAGTCTCAAGGTTACTAATGGAAGCCTGTGCCTCTCTCTCTGCATTGAGTAAGATTTGGGATTAATGCCATAGAATTCCAGAATGAAGACTGTGATTGACATTGTTATAACAATCGTAGATCACAATCCGTGGCAGAGGTCTGTGATGATATTTTACGTTGGAATTCTATGTATAGGGGTAAACTTTCTCACCCTTCTTATAGTAGTAGTAGTAGTAGTAGTAGTAGTAGTAGTATAGCCTTTATTGTCATTGTACATCATATATACAATTAAATTGGTTTAGACTCTCTGGTGCAACCTATAACATTATAGACTTTTAGAGGACATGTGGTTTATCACTTTGGGAAACAGGTTGCTGAATGGGATCCAACAGGATTCTTCCAACTTTCAGATCATCTTATGTCTCAGCACTTATCACTGCAGAGACCACAACTCCATGCCTTGCCTCTTCCAGGGTGTGTGTTGAGCCCTTCTTCCTTCATCAGAGTTGAGGAGACATTCCAATCCCTCCTTTGCCTATAAAACGATTTCTTTTGTCAGTGGGAAATTTTTGCAGGGTGTGATCACTAAGGCAAAATAAAGAGCTCCTTTGAAGTGCAGGAGAGTTACTTAGCAAGCCCCTGGGGGTGAGAATCAAATTCCTCCCTCTCTTAGCAGGACAGGCCTGCCTGAACAAGCTGGGATGCTGGAGGAGCCAGCAAATGGCTCCTAGTGACACGGGATGCGGGAGATCGAAACCTGCCAACAGCAAGCTCCCAGGCTTTCCAGCAGGAGCACATTAACTCAGCCCAGAGTTCCAAGCTGCACACTTGTTTACAGACCTCCCTGCCCACTCAGCTCCTCTCAGGCTTCCCTGCCTGAGCCGAGGCTCCCCATCTGCCAACGTCTTGCTTAAGTTGCTATGAACACTGGAAGTGCTTTATTTAAATGGGGATTCTGAACATAAAGGTGGTAGGGAAACACTACAAAAAGAATGTTGCATCAGTTTATGAGCAGTCATAGTTGCTAAGATTTCTAGCACCATTTAGGTAATGTACTGTATCAAAATTCCATTACAATGGTGCTAATTGATCTGGGGCACAATGATTGAATTATGTCTCTCTGGCTGGCTACTCTAATTATTTGCTCTCTACAGCAGATGGGTAGGGCTACAACCCATGGCTTGTTGGGGAACTCTGAAAAATGAAATCCAACCCACCTGAAGGGTAACAGATTAAAAAAAAGCTGCTGTGCCTGGATGGGGGGGGGGAGTGAGCCCTTCAAAGCACATTGGCTTTCTCAAGCCTGCATTTATAGAGGCTGGAGTGCAGCCAAAAGCAGTCTGCCCCTTCAGAAGTAGTGGGAGCAAAGAGCCTTGGGGGAAAATATTACAGCACTCAGCATGACAGTCCTAGTGTACCTCTGCTACTACAACCACAGTTAAAAAAATACCACCCCCTGAAATGATCTGTAACAAAATAAGGTCTTTTCAGAAAGACACAGCTACCTGGTTATGTGCTTTGGGAATACAGGTAGTCCTCACAATTGAGTTAAAATTTCTATTGCTATGCCAGTTGTTAGGTGAACTTTGCCACATTTTATGACCTTTCTTGCCATGGTTGTTAAGTGAGTCACTGCAGTTGTTTAAGGAAAACGGTTGTTAAGTTAATGTGACTTCCCCATTGACTTTGCTTGCCAGAAGCACACAAAAGGTGATCACATGACCTTGGGATGCTGCAACCGTCATAAACATGAGTCAGTTGCCAAGCATCTGAATTTTTATCACATGACCATGGGGATGCTGCAACCGTTCTAAGTGTGAAAAATGGTCAGTCACATTTTTCAGTGCTGTTGTAACTTTGAACAGACACTAAATGAACTGTTATAAATTGAGGACTATCTATATCTTGAAAAGATCTGGAATGTTAATTGATGCAGGTCATTAATGAACTGGTGATCCAAAACCAAAAAGAGAAAGAGCAACTCTGAGATGATGAACTTTTCTGTTACTACTGAGCAATGACCATAAATTTCCCATTATGTAACATTTTGAGACGGTTTAATTAGCTTTAAAAAATATAATGCTTCTGGTTTCTTTTACCCAAAAAATGATATATTACAATGAGGAATATGTATTTCCTTTATACTGAAGGAAAGACATTCTGTATATGCTCCAAGAATCTCAGTCTTGATTCATACTATCTAGGGCTCAAATTGACAGGCTATGTTCGTCAACTAAGCCAACAAGTTCTTTGAAAACATAATACATTGGAGAAAAGTGAGGTGACACCCAAAATACCACAAAACTACTCTCATCTATCTTGAGCTTGGTGGTTTTAATACAAATGTCTTTCAAACTCATTCAGTCTCTGAAATGGAGATAATACTGGCCTGACTGATTGGGTTTTCCCCCAGCCACTAGATCACACTAGTTCTCATAACTCATTAATAATCGTTGAACTTCGTTTTTTATTAAGCTAATTTGGGTCAATGCAGGGGCAAAAGAACTTATCAGTTGCATTTGACAGGCTGAGCCACAGAGTGGTTGAATTGGTTTCCCCCCCCCCAACCCATCTAATGGTGGCTTAAAAACCACGGTTTATGACTGAGTGAATTCTCTACATCCAACCAGTTCTGATTTATTTCACAATTATGGCCACTGATAAATTGCCATTTAAGTCAGTACTTGTGCCACAGGTCACCTAAATAGGAAAAAAAAAAAGCTCTCAACCATGAGCCATAATTGTTATAAGTTGCCCTATTTAATAAAAGGCACAGCTTGAGAGATACTCTTATGAAAAGCACCCTCAGATAACCCGGGGTGACAATAATCCCGAAATACTGAGGGGGGGGGGTTGCATTAACGTGCTGGCCATAGGCGTCTCTCCTGTTGCCCCCTCAGGAAATAGCCCGGCCACAATGAGCGGCCAAGAGACACCCATTCAACTCGACCGTCGCCTGCAGATGCGGGGCCGGCAGTTTAAACACTGCATTTACTTTGCCCAGGGAGCTGAGGTGAGGGGGTGGCTCTTAGGCCCTGTGCCCACCCTGGGGCTTTTTCCGTGTCTACCAAGCCTGACTCTCCCTGTTTTCTTCTCCCTTTGAGTCGCCGCCGCGAGCCAGCCAAATCCCCCTCCCCGCCTCCCCGGGGCCGAGACCGTGATTCTTGTTTGGGCCTCGGGAACAAGAGTGCCAACCAAAGGCTCCGCCTGGAGTGTCGGCAACTCTCTGAGGTGTGTTGGAAGAACTCCAGGCGAGCATCGAAAGGGTTGTTTAATAATATCTGACGGGCGCGGAAGAATTCGGGCAGGCGGCCAAGATACACACGGCCTGTAATAGTTAACTCGATCTGTAAACAGTTCAAACGGCACTGGGGAGGCCACCGGCTCTTACATTAGCGGCCCGCCTTTCATCTCGCCGCGCCACAGGCAGCCTCGCAGGCCCTGTTGGCCGCTCCCGCTGGCTGTGGCGAGAGTTGGAGACGAGGGCCTGCAGGCAAGCCGCAAGGGACACGGGCAGGCCCGGCCAGCCCAGACAAAGGGCCTCGTTGCGAAGGGCTGACCTTCAAACCTACCGCGCTGGAGCGAACTGAGGAGGTTTCCTTTGCTCCGCACGTGGTGGAAATCCACGAGAGCCGCCGCCGACAGCGCGTCTTTCGTGGCCGCTTTCTCAGCCCTCTTCTGTTCGCCCGGCCCGGACGGCTCGATTGAGCCTCTGGCTTTCAAGGCCAGCGGGGTGGAGCGGGCTTCTCGAGCCTAGCGCCCCCTCGATGGTTGTGTTCACACGACATGCTTTAAAAGGTTAGATACAAACGCGCCCTGCTGTGTTTCCGCAGCTCGCTAATCCTGGTTATGCTGCATCCAGGTTTGGTGAGTTGTGGGAGCCCAGAACGTTTGCTCGGTTTGTGGTGCAATCTACTGGGGAAGCACAGAAAATGGATTTTATTCCGCATCCAGGCTAAGCACGCTGGATGAATTGGGACAGCGCCTCGATGGAAATCCTGAAAGTTTCAGTCCTAAAACATCTGGAAATTAGGATGGGGAAATCTTCAGTATATGATAGATCGCCCATACTGTATTTCACCAGTAAAGTCAAGGGCAAGCTTGCAATATACTAAGCTGACCAGGTGGAAGACCAGCTATTTGCAGGTCTTCCACCTGGTCAGATTAATTTCCCCTTCTCCACTAGATATGTTCTGTTCCAGTCTCCAGTTATGGAGAAATCACACATGCTTTTCCAGGGAATTTCTGTCCTTCCCTTTCTGCTTTCTTGTCTTCTGATAGCTTTCTATTGCAGTCACTTATTTTTTTTAAAAAAAAACCCTAACCTCCTACCCTGCCTTCCAGTAATGTACAAATCAGGAGGGTGTTTGTTTTTCTCATTAAATATAGGCTACAAAGTCTCATTGTCCCACAGTAGGTTATTAGGAGTTCAAAATACACCTTGGCAACAGTGAGGGCACAAAAACGGAGGTCTCTGTGGCATATAGTTCCCTAGTTCCCTGATAATAACCTTGTACATCAGCAATGGATGTGCAATTAGGGCAGGATTCTAGATTAGTAATCTAGGGTCTGCTTAGTTAAATCAGATTATTAAATTCAGAATCCAATTTTATCTATAGTGTATGTATGCCATGGCATTGGTGCTGAAAGAAAAGAGGCATTTCCCTCTGCATTCTGAGAGTTAATGTCCACATGTGTGTTGTATATTAAAATAACTGCAAGCAAAAGATAAAAGAATCTATAGCCTTCCAGATTTTTCTGAATTACTAGTAGCCTAACCTGCATGGTAGATGGTGAAGAATTCTAGTTGTAATTCAACAGCATCTGCAGGACCATAGGTCCCTCAACTCTAAATAGCCACAGTCTCTCTAAAAATTTGAATAGAATTACATGCGCAGTGATGAAGATTTCTGGAAATGCAGCAGCAAAGAGGTTGCAATTTTTGGTTTATTAAGGCTAGTGAACCATACCATGATGGCTAGGAGATGAAGAACCATATCTTTGAGATGCAGCACTCCTTCCTTTGATCCATCAGATATATTGTTGGCCCCACACAGAGAAGCTGCTGTGTAAAACAGGCGTGCCAGCTTTCTTTTAACCAGTGTGTATAAGGGGGGGGGGAGAGATGCTATCAGCCTTTCAATGAAATTCTCCCTTGATCCTTTGCCAAAGCTGGCAGCAGGTGTGAGCTCACCTTTGGTCTATCACAACAGATGCAACAGCGCAGATGGCCATTCTTTCCTCAGAAGAACAGGCATTACATTAGCCATAAACTCTTCCCCTGACCAGCTGAATAAGGGTTGACGCCAGTTGACAGAACAACCAACTCCAGTAGATGGCCATTTTTTGTTGTTTAATTGCCCCTTATCATCCAATTGCAAAGGTTTTCTTAAAGTAATTTCACTTTACTTGAAGTTGACTGATCAATTACTCCTTTTATTTTTATTTTTTAAACTAAGTTTTGTGATTGGAACATTCTACTCCCATTCCCATCCCAGCCATTAGACAGGGCTATTTTTATGTAGCCCATACCCTTTGGAAGCAACCAAATGGTATTGGAGATAGAGCAACTTCCCAATAACATACTCTCTCTTTCTCTCTCTGGCTAGATTCTAAGCAATTCCTCCATTTGATGTCCACAATGGTAACAGCCCACAATGGCCCTGTGGAGAAACTTGCCAGTTCATAACAATCTGAGTACAAGTGAAATAGCTACCATACTTCAAAAAGCTTTGTAGAACTGAAAACAGGACCAAAAAGGTGGAAAAGGGTGTATCCTTATACTGTATGGTTCCTAAATCAATCTGACCAGCCACTGAATGACTTGGAATGCTGGTGAACATTGCTTTGATTCAGCAAGGCTCTCTTATGTTTTTTATGGAACAGTCTTCCATTAAAATTCCAAAAGGAAATTCTTGTGAATGAAAGTAAATTATTTTTCTTACACTTATATACATGTATGTTGTATTTATAAGTGTTGGTGTGATTCAAGATCGCATGAGCAAAGCTTCAGGGCATTTTGAATTCAAAGGTAACACCTCTCTGTGTTTATGGAGCAATTGTAATCTTGCAAGAATAATCCTTCTTGCTGCCAGCTTTCTATTCTAAACAGGAATGGTTCCTTCTTTCAGTCCTGTTTGTTTTCCTTAGAATTCTTGACAAATTAATTATGAAGGTATCTTTAAAAGTGGGACTTGCTAAATGAAAGCTAAGATTTAAACCAAGACAAATGATCTAGATCAGAGGTCTTAAACTTGGCAGCTTTAAGACTTGTGGACTTCAACTCCCAAAATTCTCCAGCGAGAATTCTGGGAGTTGAAGACCACAAGTCTTAAAGCTGCCAAGTTTGAAGACCTCTGATCTAGAGACAGTGTCTTTGCAAGTGATTAATTCATATCCAATTTTAGCCAGGATCTTTGCTAGATAATTTTTAACTGGGCTAAGAAGCAAACTAACTAGTGATGCAATGAAAGAAGAAAAGTCCCATGCATTCCTGGAAACCTACTATATTAACAAATAATGCAGCAACATTTGTGTAGTGGTGGCAGCTACTAAAAGATCTTCAAGGGTGACTGTAGGTAGAGCACAGGGTATCTATTTTTTTTTTAACCTCTTGATCAAATACCTGACTGTGCTCTGCAGAGTACCTTGTAATCTATGCTCAATGGGTGTACTGAGTCAACAGATCCTCAGAATTCCCAACAAACATGATAACTGAGCTGTAATGCAAGCTTATCTGGATAGATTGTGAATTATGATAGGTTATGAGTTAGGTCATCCAGAAGATATTTTAACATTTTTTCTTAAGTTTGTGTCTAAGAAATGGAAGAATGGCTAAGCTCAATGATAATGAAAAAGTGCAAACGTTTGTCTGAAACAGACAAAAGTTTACTGTAGCACTTTACCCTGTATCTGAGTTGCACATCAAGTGTTGATCTACAGTCCTTCCTCAATAATGCAGTGTCCATCTTCTGTATTACAATATAAACCAATTACATTATATCACCATCATTATATTATACTAGCATTATATTACAATACAAAAAAAAGATGTTGGGACTGGAAAGCGTGTAGAGAAGAGCAACAAAAATGATAAAGGGTTTGGAGGCTAAATTGTACGGCAAACCTCTGAGGGAGCTAGGAATGTCTAGCCAATTGAAGAGAAGGATTAAGGGGACATGATAGCCGTCTTCCAGTACTTGAGGGGCTGTCACAAAGAAGAGAGGATTGACTTATTCTCTAGGACACCAGAGGGCAAGACAAGAAGCAATAGGTGGAAGCTTATCAAAGGATTCAATCTAGAAGAAAGGGGGAATTTTCTGACAGTGAGAGCAATTAATCAATAGCTTGCCTCTGGGGTTGTGGGTACTCAGTCACTGGAGGTTTTCAAGAACAGACTGGACAATCATTTGATTGGGATGGTATAAGGCTCCTGCTTTGAGCAGAGATTGGACTAGAAGACCTCTGAGGTCCCTTCCGGCCCTATGATTCCATAATCGTCCTATGATATATCAGTAGTAACTTTCCCTTCTTTTCTCTTCACAGTTCCACCCCCTCTCTTTGTGTAATACCAGCGAGGATGAACATACTGTTCCAGGATTTGTCTCCATTGTCAAATTGGAAAGGCCTGAGCGGGATCTCCGGCCATGCCTGTCATTGGCCAATAAGGTATATGTGCTGAGAACAGACTTAATAAACTCCCTCAGAAAGCTTTTTGATCAGCTCCTTGGTTGATTAGATTGCAAATTAAGCTCCTGAGTATCTTTATATTCAAAGTAGGTAAGGCCCAAACTAAATGGGCAACGCTACAGTCTCTCATACACTCTAGTTTCTCTTCCTTACACTCTTTTCCATTGAGAAAGATGAAACTTGAACTCAAGACTTTTCAGAAGTAATTTGAAATGATTCCAGATCATTTCAATTGAGCTGGTATTGCTGGGCCTCGTCTTTCCATTAACAAAGATACTAGGAGAGGAGAGCCTTTGGGAACTGGTATTTAAAGGTTCCATACACACAGTAAATGTGTGCATGTGTCAGATTTCCATGTGTCTGTCTGGCTTTCTGTCACCTACTTGCCTATCCATCCATCAATTCATCTGCCAGAAATGCATTTCCCTTATTTTAACTTAATGTAAAGAGAGGCAGTTTGGTATAGAGGTTAAAGCATCAGGCTAGAAACCAGGAGATTATGAGTTCTAGTCTTGCCTGGGCACGAAGCCAGCTGGGTAATCTTGGGCTAGTCTCTTTCTCTTAACTCTAGAAAGGAGGCAGTGGAAAACCACTTCTGAAAAACCTTGCCACGAAAAACCTTGCAATTTGCAGGGATTTTTCCTGACAGTTTCCAAAAAACTGGACATAATTGAACAAATTAAAAAAAACCCATGTTATTGTTAAATTTGGTTGTGGAAATGTGATTTTATCTCAGTTGTTGCTTCCCCAAAATACTCAGCATGATACAAGAGAATATTGGATTTCCTAAAGGAGGGAAGGAATACTGATTAGCCTGTGTCTTGAACTCAGCTTAGAACTGCTGCCTGACTTCGACGGAACAAATGGGACTTTTTGCTAGTCACCCCTGTTAACCATGATTTCATCTACAATGATGAAATCATTGAGCCTGGTGAGCCTGGTGGCTCAGCAGACTAAAAGCATTGTGATTAACACCAGCTGTCTGCAATTACTGTAAGTTCGAATCTCACCAGGCTCAAGGTTGATTCAGCCTTCCATCCTTTCTAAGGTAGGTTAAATGAGGACCCAGTTTGTGGGGGCAATAAGCTGACTTTGTATAAATATACAAAAGTATGAGGGCTGCTGCTTAACGCCTTGTAAGCCGCCCTGAGTCTCCGGAGAAGGGCGGCATATAAATCAAATTAAAAAAAAATTAAATTCTGCTATATTCTTTAGACTCCAAGTTCGGGAGATGAGCAAATTTGCACAGTGCTCCTTGCTTTGAAAATGAGAGCTACGTTTCCTTTAGCGAATTCATCTCTCAGATCAAAGAATCTTGAAAAACTTTGTAGAATCTGAGGCGCTATAAGGCCCATGTTTGTTGGATCAGTGTAATTTTTAAAAGACGGGGGCCACTGCTGAACATTAAGGTTTGTATTATTTTACGAATGATTTGGATGAAATTCATTTAGGAATCCATCTCAAATGTACATGCACACACATGTGCAAACCACAGATGAAATGCTGGAAAGGTTTAAAGAAAGTGTAACCAGTCTCCCAGTTTGAGAGCACCTTTACAGCAAAACTTAAACTCTCTCAGTTCCCAACCTCCCAGGGCAATCCTGGAGCCTGAGATCTGCAGTGCCTTTGATCTTACAGCTGAGAAGTTGTGCTGCTAACCTCTGACCTCCCTGTTCAAGGCAGGCTTGGCAATTGCGAAGCTAGCCTGCTGGAGCAATTCTGGCGGATACCTGCTCACACACGCTTTCCAAGGACGCTGAGATCAAAGGCAGCTGCTGAGAGTGTTCCAGCCTCTGCACTTTGCTCATCAGACTTCCTCTTTTCCTTCCTTCCAAAAAGAGGCAGGTGTTAACCATTTCCATGCCAGAATTGTCCACAGCTGTGATTCTTCAGTGCTAGAGGTGCTAGGGACTGTATAGAAATAGCTAGTGGCAAGTCCTCCCCCCTCAACAACTCAAAGGGACTCATAGTTTACTCCAGTGTTTCTCAGTTTTGCAACTTTTAAGAGACAGGGACTCCAACTCCTAGAATTCTCTAGCCATCAGGATTTCTGGGAGTTGAAGTCCATGCCTCTTAGAATTGCCAAGGATGAGGAATACTGATCTACTCCAAAGGCCTGAGTGTGTCCTTCCAATCCCAGGGTCTCAAGCACTTGGAAAGGACACTTTTAATTTTCCTGCTTAGTTGGAGAGATCCTAACCGAGCAGTACTAGGCTAAATGGATATTTGATCTCATCCAGGAGGAGGTTTTTGTTTCTTACCCATAAGAATTATCAATGGAGACTCTATCTTCAGAGGCAACATACTCCAGAGCAGGGCTGAGGAATTCTGGGAGTTGAAGTCCACAAGTCTTAAAGTTGCCAAGGTTGGAGACCCCTGCTCCAGAATATCAGATTCTGAGGGAAAGACTCTTGCTAGGGATGTGGGGGGTGGGGGTGTTGGGGGGCTGAACTTGAACTTGCCCTTTGAGTAGTGTGCTGATGCTTGCGCTCCAAAACAAGGACTAGTATAGCAATGGCATTGAAGTTAATTTAAATATATCTTAATTAGAGTTAATTAGATTTCATACTATACATTTAGGGTTAGCATTGCATGCTTCAAAAATAATTTGGCAGAAGTTTTTTCAGATCTTGTGCAAGGGCAGCTCTTCTCTGCTCTTCATTAAAGCTCACATGTTTCTTTTCAAGGCCTGAGCCTGGAATAAAATGCGACTGCTTTGAGAGTTTCATTAAACGTACGTTGCTTTAATGATTTGACTCCTTAAAACATCAGCATCTTTCAGAAAACCTGAAGAAAATTACATATGCTTTAATGAGTAGCAGAAAGGTGCTGTGTTCATGTGAGGTGTGAATCTCTTCCTCTGAATCATTTTTAAAGCATACACAGCTCAAATATTTATCATATAGTTTAATGATAGATTTTGGAAGAACAGCATACAAAGCCTTAGATTTTAGAAGGTTATATGTAGTCTGGGTATCATAAAGTTCTAATGAAATGTTCAGATCAATTCTAGGAACTTGTTCTAAGCTTTCTTAAATTGCATGAACAATAGATCAGTTGCAGATCTAATAGTACAGCTACTCCTCAATTTACAACAGTTGATTTAGTGACCAAAGTGACTTATGACCATTTTTCACACTTATGACTGTTGCAGCAGCCCCAAGGTCACGTTATCCAAATTCAGACACTTGGCAACTGACTGATATTGATGATGGTTGCAGCGCTCTGGGGTCATGTGGTCACATTTTGTGACCTTCTGACAAGCAAAATCAACGAGGAAGCCAGATTCACTTAAGAACCATGTTACTAACTTAACAACTGCAGTGATTCACTTAACAACAGTGGCAAGAAAGATCATAAAATGGGGCACAGTTCACTTAACTGTTTCGCTTAGCAACATAAATTTTGGGCTCAATTATCGTTGTAAGTCAAGGACTACCTGTATAAGTGGCCTGTTTAAATCATCATGTATATTACAGAGGCCAGCATATAAACAAGCCAAGAAATGGATTGCAGTTGCAGATAAGACTGTAGCCGAGGGCCTTTACTTTTGCTCTTGGCATTTGCAAGCAGGGGTGAAATGCTCCCGGTTCGGACCGGATCATCCGATCCGGTAGCGATGGAGGCGGGTGGTTCGGAGAACTGGTAGCAAAAATCCCTGCCCCCCCCCATACCCAGCTGAGCTGCGCAATCATCAGAGGCTTTTTTTATTTATTTTTAAAAGCATTTTTTCTACACCTCTTCGGCCGAAAAAATGTTTTTAAAAGTAAAAAAAAAAAGCCTCTGATGATCGCGCGGCTCAGCTGGGATTGTCAGAGGCTTTTAAAAGCATTTTTTCTACAACCTCTTCTGCCAAAGAGTTTGTAGAAAAAATGCTTTTAAAAAGGCTCTGACGATCCCAGCTGAGTTGCCTGATCGTCAGAGGCTTTTAAAAGCATTTTTTTACAACCTCTTCCGCCAAAGAGGTTGTAGAAAAAATGGTTTTAAAAGTTAAAAAAAAGTTGGCCACGCCCACTCGGTCACATTACCCCCCCCCTACCAAGCCACGCCCAGAGAACTGGTAGTAACAAATTTTACATTTCACCACTGTTTGCAAGTAACATACAAATGTCACCAGAAGATCTACGATGTTCAGTCCCTATTTTCCTAAATTTTGGGGACTGGATTTATTAAAATAGCAATGAGCTTATTGAATTCTTAATGCACCTTTCTGATGATTTCCTGTTTTTGCCAAGCAAAAGTTGCTCTCCTATGATTTGGTGGTTGACCATTGCATAATGGTCTTGTAGAATTTGGGACCACAGAGGAGGGCTGGGGACATTTGTGTCCCAAAGGTTACCCACTTCCTAATGTAATGTAAGGAACCAGATGGTCGCAAAGATCAAGGGCAGCAGAGACTGTTTTGCTACCCTAATTGTCATGTGACCAATCTCTGGATTCTGAGCAACATTGCAAGGGATTTTGGAGACATGATTTTGGATACCGCACAGCTTTTATACCAACTTGAAAAATGACACCTTCCAAAGGAACAGGTTGCAAAATCATCAAAGGTACATTTTTCTGGCATTGCATCAATCCTGATAGCCAGTCAGTTTCTGAGAATAGAGTGAGGAAGGAGGGAAAGATATTGGCAATCTTGACTCCAGCGGACATGTAAGAAGTTGGTCTTGCAAGGCTTGTGTATAATTATAAATGGGAGTGGGTGGGATGGATTTACAGAAAAGGGAAGGAAGAAATAAAAAGAGCCAAGAAGTCACTATTGGCTTAGCTTGGCTAAGAAGAGGCCCACTCTGCCAGCATTTCTTGACAAAAAGGCTGAAGTCTCCTATGCTTTGGCCTTACTGCCCAAACCCACCCTTGCCATCATCAGGGCAGTGTTAAACTTCTCTGAGTATTAGGGGGAAAAGAAAAAGGAGAGTCATTGTATGTCCTTTAGGGCAGGGGTCTCCAACCTTGGCAACTTTAAGCCTGGCGGACTTCAACTCCCAGCAAAGCTGGCTGGAGAATTCTGGGAGTTGAAGTCCGCCAGGCTTAAAGTTGCCAAGGTTGGAGACCCCTGCTTTAGGGAAGAGGTTCCCTGTTTAGACTATCCAGTTGACTTAAATACAGGTAGTCCTCGACTTACAACAGTTCCTTTAGTGACCGTTCAAAGTTACAACGGTTCTGAAAAAAAGTGACATGACCATTTTTCACAATTACGACCTTTGCAGCATCCCTGTGTTCCTATGATCAAAATTCAGATACTTGGCAGCTGGTTCGTACTTAATGATCGTTGCTGTGTCTCGAGGTCGTGTGATCACTTTTTGCAACCTTTTGACAAGCAAAGTCAATGGGGAAGCCAGGTTCACTTAACAGCCGGGTTAAGTAACTTAACAACTGCAGTGAGTCACTTAGCAACTGTGGCAGGAACGGTCGTGAAATGGGGCAAAACTCACTTAACAATTGTCTCACTTAATTGCGGGCTTAAATTGTGGTTGTACATCAAGGACTACCTGTAGGGAGGCGCTCTTAATGCATTTGGAGAGTGGGCCAGTCCCCTTTATATTCTGATCATACATGAACCGTGCCTGCTTCATTTAAGTCTTTGGCCATAAACAGAGTGCCCTGATCATGGTATTGCTTTCCCCATGGATATGCTAATTGTAGAACATGCTAGGGCTCAGCCTTCGATCTTAAGAGTGATAAGGAAACCGGAGTGCTTTCAAGTGTCTGCCTGTGTCCTTTGCTCACCTCTAACTATCAGATCTTAAAGGACAGGTTAGGTCTTCTGGGGGACTTAATTCCCAAATTCCTGTTTCAGGGAGAGGCTGAGCCTGGCAGTGCCCACTGCCCCTTTGTTTGCCTTTTTCATGTGCCTGCCTGAAGGCTGCCCGCACCAAAGCTCAAAGCTCAGAACTGGCGAAAAGCCCCTGCTGAATGGCTCATACAGCCCCAGGCTTTGGTGAGGCAGGGCTGCGGTTCACATCCTAGGCTTTGAAGCAGAGCCAGCGGGTGGCTTTGGGGCCTGCTGGGCCTGGCAGGGATCCAGTGCCAATAGGATGTGGGGGAGGGAAGCAGGTGAGCCAGCTAGCTAGGGCGGAAGGGGTGGGGAAGGGAATTTAAGGTAGACCAGGGAGAAGTGGGAGCAGGCGTGTGCGTTACGGTGCTTGGGTGGCAGGGCTGTTTTCAGTGTGGGGTAGGAACAGAGGAGAGCTTTGTTCCTCCAAGTAGGGCAGGGCTGGGCTGGGCTGGGCTGGAGAGGAGGGGAATGGAAAGTCAAAGTCCTGGATGGCTCCTGAGAAGCAAGATCACACCTTGCTGACCCAGAGTGGGCCGGCCTTTTGTTGGGGGCTGCGGCATTGTCCTCTTTGGAGCTGAAACCAGGAGTCCACATCCATGTGCATATGAAGGTTACACACACACACACACACACACACACACACACACACACACACCACAAATTACTTTTTTGATCACTTTTGAATTTGGATGCAATTCTTGGCTTTGCAACAGATGAAAGGCTGGAGAGGAGCTATCCTTTCAGCGCCATAGGCCTTTCCTCCAGTTCTGGTTTAAGAAAGTCTTTAACCGGGAGATGCCAAGGATTGAACCAAAAAGCAGGTCTCAGTGTGCCAGTGTTGTGGCCCATCCCTAGTCCTAATTATAGTCTGGACCTACTCTGAAAGCAGGCTGACTCATTTTAACATTTGCATCTCGTGATATTGCTCCACTGCTCATGACCACTGATTTATGTGGTTTCTATAGTTTAATATATTGGTACGTTTCTATTTTTAAGCTGAATAAAAGCTGTTTTAAAGTTGTACGCTGCTTAGAAAAACATTGTATGACATTGCTGATAGAGGCCTGGGATTTTTTGGGGTTTTTTTGGAGGTAGCGGATCACTCCTCCTTCAAGCAGAGAGCATTGACCAAGGATTCAGATCAGAGTGCGCAGTGCTAGTCTAGTTCCATTATGAGTGTCGGTGAGCATGGCAGAGGGGGCAGTGCATTGCTTTGGCCCATAGGGGGCACAACCTACTGGGAACATCTTCTGGGCTCAGGGAGGAAGATTGCTGCTTTCAAATGTTCCAAATATCTGAACAAACGAGCTGGGCTGGCAATAAAATTTACGGATCCCAAGACATTTAGAACTCCCCAGTTTCATTGCGACTCGGTACAGGTAGTCCTCAACTTACAACAGTTCATTTAGTGACTGTACAAAGTCACTGAAAAAGGTGATTTGTGACCATTTTTCACACTTACGACCATTGCATCCATCCCCCATGGTCACGTGATTTATATTCGGATGCTTGACAACTGACTCACATTTATGACGGTTGGTTGCAGTGTTCCAAGGTCATGTGATCGCTTTTTGCAACCTTCTGACAAGCAAAGTCAATAGAGAAGCCAGATTCACTTAACAACCGGGTGACTAACACTAACTCAACTGCAGTGATTCAGTTAACAAATGTGACAAGAAATTTGTAAAATAGGGCAACGCTCCACTTAGCAAATATCTTACTTAGCGACATAAATTTTGGGCTCAATTGTGGTTGTAAGTCAAGGACTACCTGTACTACAAATCACACTCTCTTTTCTGACTATTTCTTCCTTTTCAATTGTGATATTATACAACACTAAATGTAGGCATCCTCCTTTTCCCAAACTGGGATTGTATTCTGTAAACATATATGTAAATAAATAAATGCATTGTTTAGATGTGAAGAATCAATTTTTTGATTCAAGTGTGGGTCTCCCGAATTCAGTAGCTTGTTTTCCAATTATGAAAGACACAGGTAACTCAGTACAAACCGGGCCTTCTTTTCCCACAGATGGGGACCACAGAATAAACATGCAATCTAATAGTGCCAAAGGTGCTTTTTCAAGAGGCAACTGGACTTTCTGGTTTTTCTTTGAAGACATTTCACTTCTCACCCAAGAAGCTTCTTCAGTTCTAACTGGATGGTGGGGAATGGAAGGATTTATACTCCTTGAAGACAGCTGGTCATTTGCATTCTTTTAGAGAGTAGTTAAGGTCACCTGAAGGTTTATCTGTGTCATCAGGGTCACCTGAGTGGTGCAAATGGGTGTGGAGCCTTCTTGGAACTGTTGAAAGGATGGTGTTGTAGACTGGAAATAAATGATGTTCTATCCCTCCCCCTCTGTTGAGAGAGGGCTGTTCAATTTTGACATAGATGGCCTCTTTGACCCCTCTTTCAAACCATCAGTCCTCTCTGTTCAAAATGTGGACTTTGCTGTTTTTAAAAGAATAGCCTTTGTCTTTTAAATGCAGATGGACTGCTGAATCTAATCCTGATGGGTTTGTTCTCCTATGTTGTGCCATGCGTTTATGAAGTGGTTGTTTTGTTTCCCCAATGTACAGATCTGCACATGGCTCACTGCATTGTACTGCATATACCAGGTTGCTCAGTTTGTGTCTGGGTATTATATCCTTGGAGTGGACAAGCTTCTGCCTTAGTGTATTTTGGGGTTTGAAGTGTGCACGTATGTTATGTTGTCCATCCAGTCAGAGCTGAAGAAGCTTCTTGGATGAGAAGCAAAACGTCTTGAAAGAAAACCCAGAAAGTCCAGTTGCCTCTTGAAAAAGCACCTTTGGGACAACCATGACCTGGATGACTGAGAATCTCCATAGATGTCCAAATCTAATAATTGAGGTGGATAACAAAGAATGAGAGGTGCTACGTGGTCACAATGATGCAGTTATTCACATATATTCTCTTGAACTCTTTCCTCTCTTTTCAGGCAAAACTGGCAGGGGAGAGGGGAGCTCGGGCTGTTCTTTTTGACATTACAGATGACCAGAGTGCTGCTGACCAGGTAAGGAGATTCTGAAGAAAAGGGGAAATGTCCCTTTCTTGTTTTAACAGATTTGCTTTTAAAAAGAAGTGAGAGGCCAGCACTTCCTTCTCTCACTCCCCTCTTTTTAAATATTTCTGAATTTTTATTAATTTGCCAGTTAGATGACTTAGTAATGTCTTCAGAAGTGCCATCGTGAATTGGGACAGTTGATAAGTAGATGGGCAAATAGAAATCCCAGAATATCATTTGAACTGACTTATGCACAGCCTGGTTCTCTTATCTCTTCATCCGTGGTAGCCCTGTATCCTCAGGCTGTATTCCCCTGTTGTGTTTCCCTCCAGAGGGAATTGTCAGGTCCGTTTCTTTTCATACATGTGAAGCGTATTGGTCACCAGCATAGAAATGGATATGAGAAGAAGGCAACTAAGCTTTTGGGGGAAAAGACAGCACTGTTAATATTCCCTTATTTTGGCTTTTGGATGACTCCTTTTCCTCCTGTGTCAGGTGACTTGTAAGAACAAATATATTGTAACTGCTCTTTCATGTGATATACAGATTTTCCCATCTGGGCCAGGTAGCCTCATATTTCTTAATGTTAGGCCTGCCATTCTGTCATAATGAAACATGGAAAAGTGGAGCTAAGCAATGCTTGGTTTTTTTAAAAGTAAAAGTGGATGTGACCCAAATATTCTTTGGAATCCAATTCCATCACTCCAGATCCACAAATATTGTTTCATTTTATTTCACCACTAAAATGGAATACTAGGAAAACAGTATTCAGGGATTTCTTTTGGTACCTCTTGATGATGTAGATTTCAATGTGTCTTTTAATCTCGGAGCTATGTTGATAGGCAAGGACATTTTGCAATCCTGTTCAAAAAAAAGTAATAGCCTGTATTTACAGTGAAGCTAATCAGATTTAATTATTTATCAGATTTATAAGGTGGCACACAACAATAGTATAGCTTCTGATTGCTTTCTCAGAGTCTCTAAAGACCTATTCCCTGCTTGGAGTAAAACATGGCACAAACATGTTATGGTAATATCTTTTAATTGTCCCCATGACATTGTCTTCATCTCATCCCTGGCCCATGAAAGAGAATGCCTTAAGTCATAGAATCATGGTGTTTAAGGTTGGAAGAGATTTTTGAAATTATCTGGTCCAACTCCTTTCCCTATCTTGTAGTTTTGAAGACTGAATATTTGCACCAGCTAATACAATCTTAAATCCACATATTTTGTAATGATACTTGCTTTTGTTCTTGTCTCCCTTATTCATTCATCCATCCATCCATTCATTCATTCATTCATTCATTCATTCATTCATTCATTTGTCAAACATGTACAAGATAGCAGGTATGAATATGAACATGGACATGAACGAGGGAAATGAATACAAATAAATGGGGACAGTAGGACAGTCAGGGACAGTAGACACGCTGGTGCGCTTATGCACACCCCCTTTATGAACCTCTTAGGAATGGGGTGGGATCCACGGTAGACAGTTTAAGGTTGAAGCTGTGAGGGTTTGACATTCCAGGCGTTGACCACTCATATTCATACTGGGTTAACAAGATAAAAACTTCCACTGTGTGATTACAATAGTTGGTATGGCAAAAAAGCACCCATGCTTTAGAATTAATATGTGCAGGAAAACTGAAAAACAAAGAGCAAGACTGAATACAGATAAGGCAATAAGGGTGGTGAAATGTACTTAATTCTTCATCCTTATTGTGCCTGCAGATTACTAACCAGTGACCCTGTTTAGGTGATTCGGTCCCTTTTGGGTAAGGTGGAGTTGGGGATCCTTTGCAGGTTCATTGTGAGAATTGCATTGAGTATCTGACGGATAAAGTTGCTTGAATCTGCTTGGAGTTGTCCTGCTTTCAGTTGTGCTGCCCAGTTATCTGGCCTGTGAGTTTGATCCAATTACTTCCATAGAAATGGACAGGAATCTTGGAATGCTACCTGTGTGTTAGATCCATGGCCCCTCCTGGCTGGTTAAAGCCTCCTAAGAGGTGACATGTAATTGTGCTCAAGCGATGGTAAATATCTCCTTGACCGAGGCAATGGTTCCACCTGCCTTAAAAGAGGTAGTAGTCTGCTCCTCATTAAGAGAGCATCACTGTACCCAGCTGTACTGGACAATTTTCATCAAATCTCTAAACATTACAGATGAAAGATTATTTATTTATTTAAAATATTTATATACCGGCAGCTGCCTATCTTCTTACAAACTCTGGCTGACTCCCAATCAAGGTTGTTGAGGAGGTAGTAGAGATACAGTTTCAAATGTCTTTGGAGGAAGTGGATTTAGAGGAACTGGACTCATTGAAGTTGGGGTTCAAGCCAGTGGTGAAATTCAATTTTTTTTTTACTACCGATTCTGTGGATGTGGCTTGGTGGGCATGGTGTAGCTTGGTGGGCGTGGCAGGGGAAGGATACTGCAAAATTTCCATTCTCATCCCACTCCAGGGGAAGGATACTGCAAAATCCCCATTCCCACCCCACTCTGGGGCCAGCCAGAGGTTGGTGGTATTTGCATGTTCTCCGAACTACTCAAAATTTCCGCTACTGGTTCTCCAGAACCTGTCAGAACCTGCTGCATTTCACCCCTCGTTCAAGCTATATATAGCACTGAGGTGGCATTGATTATGTTTGCAGATGGCCTCTGGCAGGCTTGGGATGGGGGCAGTGTGTCCATATTGTCCCTTCTTGATCTTTCAGTAGCTTTTGATAACATCGGTTGTGATATCCTGGGAGGTAGGAGACACTGTAACAGTGGTCCCCCAATTCCAGTTGGGGTTGGTAGGAGGGAAAGGTCCAGCCCTAGGCCACCTGCCTTTCAGCTGCCACAGGGCTTGACTTGCTCCCGGGTCCTATTTCATGTCTATATGAAAGCACTGCATATGGTTTGGCATCGGGTGCAGTTTCATCAGTATGCTGATGCTACTAGGGTTGTACATCTGTGCCTCAGGCTGTCCAAATGGTGCTGTTGAAACGCTTGCGTTTTCCCAGTGCCTGGAGGCTATGTAGGTCTGGATGGGGAAGAACTAGCTTCATTTCAATCTTGAGAACCCTGAGTGGCTGGGTGTTCTAGAGCTCCCAATACCTGGTAGTTTTTCACTGCTAACTCTGAATGGGGTTACATTTCCTCAATCAGAGTTGATTTGTAATTTCGGGATCTTCATGGTCTCGCAGGTTATACTTAAGGAGCCGATGGCACCTATAGCCAGGAGGGCTTTCACACAAAAAGTTCTTGTGCACCAGTTGCGCCCATTCCTGGATTGGAGGCACTTCTCACTGTCATATTAATCACCCTCACACATGGACTGTTGTAACACATTCTTCATGGAGCTGCCTTCAGAAGTATTTAGAAGCATCAGTTGGTCCAGAAAGCAGCAGCACGTGCAGAATTGCATGCACCATGATCCTCCCACATAACACATACAGTAGCTACGTGCTCTGCAGTGACTCCAGCAGGATTTTGGTTGCACTTCAACAGGCTAGTTATCTCTTTTAATGTGATGCATGGCATGGGGCCAGAGTAATTGAGGGACCACCTCTCCCCAACCGGTTTTGCCTGACCCACTAGATCTGGTAGAATGGGCATGTTCCTGGTCCCCTCAGTGAGGCAATTTCACCTGGTGGATCCTAGGAAGCATGTCTTCTCTGTCATGGTTCCTGCCATATGGAAGATCTTTGCCCCTAAATATGGATGACCCCTAATCTTACTAACTCTTCCTTCAGGCATTCAGGCCGGGCTGTTACTTCTGAAGCTCCAGTGTCGATGTATAGGATGGGTATCCTAAGATATTAATGAGGAAATGTTGACCTGGGGTGTGGGTGTGTTTGTTACAACTGTTGATATTTTGCATTTTATGTTTGCTGTCCAGCGTTTCATTGGATAGATGGGTGGCCTTATAAATTCATTAAACAAGCTCAGTGTATCACTAGCTAAATCAGAAAGGAGTACTGTTTGGATTTCAAGGCAGCTTGATGGTCTCACCTGGTCATTAGGATTGCCTTCTTATCACTAAACTGACTGTTAAGCAAGCAGCTTTCTGGGCAATACCATACGACTCAATGAGTTTTTAAGATAGCCATCTTCCCAGTAGAGATGAGACTTGAATCCAATACTTGCTGAAACATGCTAAGGAAATGATTTCCAGGTTTCCCCCCAAACCGAGTGAGTGTTTTGTAGAACCTAACTCATATTCCATCTCTCTACAGTTGAGGAAGCCTCAAGAGCTGAGTCATCCTGTTGTTCTGATCTGGGGCCACAATGCTGAACTTCTCATGAGAGTGGTGAACAATAACCGTGAAGCCCATGTGAAGATTGAGGTGAAGGAAATGCCAGCTTGGGTAAATAAGTTTTTTTTTTCTTCCCTGGATTCTGATTGAAAATCTGAAGTCATTATCACAGTAATGTTGATTGCGTACCTATACTTTAACTAGCCCCAGTTTTCTCCATTTTATCATAGACAATTTACAACAATTAGCCATGGTTCTATCTCTGCTGCACTTTTGTCTTCTCTTTAGCTTAGGACAGGGGTGTCAGACTCAAGGCCTGCGGGCCGCATCTGGCCCCTGTGGTGCTTAGATCTGGCCTGCGGGACTGCCCTGGAAACAGTGAAGGACCAGCCCGTGGTGCCTCTGTGCAGCCCTCCTCCGTTTTTGGCCGCAATGGCCTCCTGCAGCCCTCTGCCTGCAAAAATGGAGCTTGGGGAGGCCGTGTGCGGCCCATCCAGGCTCTTTTTTACTGGCAGAGGGCTGCAGGAGGCCATTGCAGCCAAAATCAGAGCCCGTTTGCTGGCAGAGGGCTGCAGGAGGCTGTCACGGCCAAAAACAGAGCCTCAATGAGTGATGTCGAGCTGGCTACACCCACCCTGGCCATGCCCACCCCCGGCCCCCTGAGGTCAGACACAACCCTGATGTAGCCCTCGATAAAATTGAGTTTGACACCTCTGGCCTAGGACAACTTTCCTCAAATTAATTCCTCTTCCAGAGGTGTTTGGCTATAACACCAATCCCTCTCCAGCCAGCTTTGATGTAAGGAACTGCTGACTGGGGAAATTTAGCTAAGGCATATTTGTGATATTTATGCTGCTGATTTTCATATTTTTCTATTCATCCTTTCTTCATGCCTCGGTTAAATTTAGCTGCTCTAAAGGAGGTTTCTGTTTATTTTATCTATCTACTATCTTCTTTGACCTGCACCTCGGTTATTCCCAATTTAAGCTATTTTTTTGTTTTCATATCAAAGCTGTCAAAAGATGCCACTAATCCTATCATGATGCAGATTTGAATTGTGAAAGAGTTTGACCCACTCTTCCTCCTTTTTTCCTGTTGATTTTCGGCTATTATTTTGCTTCTTTGGCTAATGGTCCTTGATTTTCCTCAAACCACTTGTTGAATGCTTTTAGTCTCTGCTGTGGCTATTTACTTTTGAAGCAAAACAGAAATGTAACTGAATTTGTTTTTTGCTCTTTTTCTTGGAAATGTCAGTTAGTTTTATTTTTAAAAAATCAGTTTATTACCAAATCCGCACATCTCAGTGTTTTTTGTATAATTAGCCCTCAACTTACGATTATAGTTGAGCCCAGAATTTATGTTTCTAAGTGAGAAATACCGCATGTTAAATCTGAGTTTTGTCCCATTTTACTCTTCTTGCCACATAAGTGAATCACAGCAGTTGTTAAGTTAGTAACACAGTTGTTAAGTGAATCTGGCTTCCCCACTGATTTTGCTTGTCAAAAGGTCGCAAAAGATGATCATGTGACCCCAGGACAATGCAACCGTCATAAATATGAACCAGTTGCCAAGCATCCAAACATAAATGGGGATGCTGCAATGGTCGTATGTATGACAAATGATCCTAAGTCACGTTTTTCAGTGCTGTTGTAACTTCAAACGGACACTGAATGAACTGTTGTAAGTCGAGGACTACCTATTATCCTCATGTTTTTTTTCAGTCCCAGTTTTGGTGATTTTTTTTTCTTGCTGCTGTATCTGAAAGGTTTCTTTTGATTAGCACTTTTAGGTGAGCTAACGCCCTAAACCTTGATTCCTTCACTTTAGGTAGTAATTCCATCTTCCCAGTCTGGCTCAATAACTTATTTGTTGCAGACCTGTTGCAATCATCTTTTTGCCTCATGTCCTGTTCTTTGTATTTGTTGTCTTAGATGTCTTTCATCTAGACGCCTATCAGTCTAGCTTTCAAGCTTCTTACTCTGGAGAACCACTCAGTCCTATCTTAATAGTCTTTTCTTTGTTAATGTGTGAGCTTTTATTGCATTCTTGTTTAGTTATAATACTATCAGATTTTTTTTTCCCCTGTAGTAAATCTGTTGATTGGGAGTAGGATTTGTTCTTAATAGTTTTCATTCCTATTTCCTTATTTGTTCCTTTTGTACTCAGATTTCTCATTCTTTATCCTTTCTTTTCTCTGCTGATATCCCTCATATTTCTAGCCTTAATCCCCTTTATATTTTTATAATTCCTTCCCAGTAGTTTTTTTCTGTATCTTGAATTTAAGCATTATTTTTATGTTGATTATATGTATCCATATTTGATATTTCTACATATTTCTGTTATTTTCTGCCTAATCATCACCATCTGAAACTTAATATTCTAATGTGGAATTTCTAGTTATTCCAGCTTAATCTAACCTTTTCTCCTTTACTTCTTTTTGCATTAGCAATATTTATGTATCTTACTTTTCTCCTGCATGTTACCATGATATTGTTTGATTTCCTGCTCAGATAAATTATATGGTTTAATCAAACTATTGACTAAATTATAGGATGATGTAATGTAAACCAGTGAATGAATGCTATGGGTATATAGAGATTTGAATTGATGCTTAATCACCACACTATTGTGATTTGTTTTGGCGTATCATGTGAGGTTGCCCATTGGAATGAATGGCAGAGCTCTAATCTCTTGGGTCTTCCCAACAGCCAGATTACGATGTTTGGATACTCCTCACCGTTGTGAGTACCGTACTGGTCATTGTTGTAATCTTCTTCGTTCGCACTCGTTGTCAGCCAAGCAGAAATCAGGTAAGAATTGTTTAGTAGTACTCCATCTGGTATCGAGTGTTCTCAACCCTTCCAGAAAATGTTCCTCTCTCTGATAACATTATTAATATTTTACTTAATATTTCCTGGTGATCCATGAAAATCATGAGAGTCTTTGTATGCAACCTAAGTCCCCATGGAATTTGAACTATAGGCTTTGGATGTCAGACACATATTTTTACAGTGGCAGGAAAAACTCACAAAGCACAAGAACTGGGTAATATATCACTCCAAACCTATAATAGTACAGCTAGTCCTCAACCTATGACCACAATTGAGCCCCAAATTTATGGTGCTAAATGAGAAATTTTTAAAGTGAGTTTTGCCCCATTTTACGGGTTTTCTTGCCACATTCATTAAGCGAACTCCTGCAGCAGTGGTGGGTTTCAAAAATTTTTACTACCAGTTCTGTGGGTGTGGCTTGGTGGGTGTGGCAGGGGAAGGATACTGTAAAATCTCCATTCCCTCCCCAATCCAGGGGAAGGATACTGCAAAATCCCCATTTCCTCCTGATCAGCTGGGACTCGGGAGGCAGAGAATAGATGGGAGCGGGGCCAGTCAGAATTTTTACTACCAGTTCTCCAAACTACTCAAAATTTCCGCTACCGGTTCTCCAGAACTGGTCAGAACCTGCTGAAACCCACCTCTGTCCTGCAGTGCTTAAATTAGTTACACAGCTGTTAAGTGAATCTGGTTTGCCCATTGACTTTGCTTGTCAGAAGGTGATAAAATGGGATCCCCTGACACTGGGTCAACTGCAACCATCAAAAATGTGAGTCAGTTGTCAGACATCCAAATGTAAATCACGTGGGGATGCTGAAACGGTCATCACTGTGAAAAATGGTCATAAGTCGCTTTTTTCAGTACCGTTGTAACTTTGAACAGTCACTAAGTGAACTGTTGAGGACTATCTGTACCTTATTTAATATTGTACTTAAATTTGTATCATTCCATTTCTGGAGACTCTGAGCAGCAGGTTGCTTTATATCAGGCTTTTGGTACAGATGGACAGAATTACATTTTGATCTGATATAATAAAGAGGTTTTACAGAAGGATTTTATGGGGATTTTGAAAAAGTAGCTGCCTAGTGAGTTTAGCTATTTATTTATAAATTTATATACCATCCAGCTCCCAACAACTCTTTTAATAGTCATTTACTGTATAAGGAAAACTAAATTCTCTTCCTGGTCTGACTCAGCCTAGCTTCCCGGCAGAAGATCAAAGACTAAAGAGTCGAGGTTTTTTGTCTGCATCCTCCCAACCATATCTGCCATACATTGTGCTGCTACAAAAGTTGTCAGGATTCTCCTGAAATTCTCATAGGTGAGTTGCCATTGCCATTGCCATAGCAATGGTTTAGCAGCACACTGTAGGAAGATACGGCTCCCTAAAAAAATTTCCTGTATTAAGCAAGAGAGGTTTGGTTGAATTAGGTTGCCACAAACCCCTTTAACTTGGTCATCTATTTAAACTGCAAGGAAATGCTGACTGTTGTGGCCCATATCAGCTGGGCAGGAGGTGAGGCCTTGGAAGATTCCCTCCCTCTATTTTCTCATCCTTCCTCAGACGAATGTGCAGGAAGCGACCATGCAAGCCATCAACCGGCTGGCCATACGGAGGTATCAAATCCCTCATCGGCATGCCCCAACGGGGGACTCTGTTAGCACCTGCAGTTCTCCTCCCATATGTGCAATCTGCTTGGAAGAATTTTGTGAGGGGCAGGTAAGCCGACATTTCTGGGTTTGGGAGTTCTCTATGTAGATCAAATAAGCAAGGCCTTTCAGAGTCCCCTATGGTGAGGGAGAAGAAGAACGCCAAAGCCTCCTGTTTTGAGAGCAAGGTGAAAACCAAGTCTAGCCAATCTGTGGATGAAATGATAAAAAACATGGCTTTTTACATGTGCATTCTATATTCTAGAGTAGGGGTGTCAAACTCGATTTCATTGAGGGCCGCAAAAGGGTTGTGGGGGCCCGGGGTGGGCATGGTCAAGGTGGGCATGGCCAGTTTGACATCACTCATGTTGAGGACACCTGTGGTGGCCCGATATCTCTGCCAGCGAAAACAGGCTCCCGAGCTACATTTCCAGCTGCGACGGCCTCCTGCCGCCGTCTGCCAGCAAAAACAGAGCTCGGGAGGGCCGCCTGTGTCCCTCGCATGTTCCGTTTTCAGCTGCAATGTCCCCCCTTTTGCTGGCAGAGGCACTATGGGTCCTTCTCTGTTTCCAGGGCAGCTCCAAGGGCCAGATCTAAGTGCCTCGCGGGCTGGATCTGGTCCCCGGGCCTTGAGTTTGACACTCCTATTCTAGAGTCCCTTAGTGTGCACTGTGGAGTGCTCTTGCATATATTATTGGATCTAATTATTATTTATTTCAGATTTGTTGTACTCCACCCAGAGTCATGTTTTCTTATATGGATGGCTATATAAATTTGAAAAATAAATCTAAAATGCATTTTAGTGCATTTTGCACATGATGAAAACAGCATTGCACTGCAAGTTCTGTCCCCTTTGGGTAGTATGATGATATAATGCATGTAGAAAAGACATATGTGTGCTAGAAGGCTGGTTGGATCATCCTGACCACCCTTTCCTCCCCACTGAGATCAGTCTGGCCCCATCTGTGAACAGGAGAAGGAGCAATGTCTGAAAAAAAAATCTTTGTAATTATGAATTAATGCCTATTTTAATTTTTCCCAATCATTCAACTATCTTATTTTAGTGTTTATAAATCATCATTTTGTAATTTTTTTTACCCATAGACTAGATTAAAAACACACAAAACCTCAAATGAGTAGTGAGGTTTGGGACATGTTTTCACAAGACTTTGATTCCTAAACCTCATTACTTGTTTGAAGTTCGGAGATTTAACCACATTCCCACCAGACCTTTCCAGTGAGATATGCCACAAGAAACAGGAGACTGACCCACCCAAATGAAGACTGTTCCTTTCTTTGAATCTAGATTCTGCCTTCCCATCCCATTGCCTTTTCCTACTTTACAGGAACTACGGATAATCACTTGTTCCCATGAGTTCCATCGGCAGTGTGTGGACCCTTGGCTCCAGCAGCACCAAACATGTCCATTATGCATGTTCAACATTGTTGGTAAGAGCGAGCAGAAACATCTCTGAGAGTAGTAGTTAAAATCAGCCATGCTGGATCAGTCCTAAGACTGCACCGTGTATACCATTGGCAATCAAAGGCCTTTGGGAAAGCCCCAAATGGATGAAGGGCACAATTCTTCCACAGTTGTTCTCGAGACTCAGGCATCAGAATTCAGAGGTATTCTACCTAAGAGCATAAAGATTCTGAATTTTTTAACGAGATCTGTAGCAGGGGTGAAATGCTCCCGGTTCAGACCGGATCGCACAATCAGGTAGCGATGGCGGCGGGTGGTTCGGAGAACTGGTAGCAAAAATCCCTGCCCCCCCCCCATGCCCAGCTGAGCCGCGCAATCATCAGAGGCTTTTATTTTTAAAAGCATTTTTTCTATAACCTCTTCGGCCAAAAAGATGCTTTTAAAAGTAAAAAAAAAAAGCCTCTGATGATCACGCAGCTCAGCTGGGAAGCTTTTAAAAGCATTTTTTTAAACAACCTCTTCGGCCGAAGAGGTTGTAGAAAAAATGTTTTTAAACGAAAAAAAAGCTTCTGCCGATCAGGCAACTCAGCTGGGATCGTCAGAGGCTTTTAAAAGCATTTTTTAACAACCTCTTAGACCAAAGAGGTTGTAGAAAAAATGGTTTTAAACGGGGTTTTTTTTTAAAGTTGGCCACGCCCACTCAGTCACATTAACACCCCCACCTCCCCAAGCCATACCCACAGAACCGGCAATAACAGATTTTACATTTCACCACTGATCTGTAGCCATTAACTCAGCTGAATTCGGTTGAATGAATCTCATCTAATTTCTTGGACTAGAAAGTATAACAGGAACTAAATGGGGCTGCCATTGCAGGCAATTTGGAGGCAACAGTTGGTGCAGAATACAGTAGTCAGGCTGCTATTGGGAGAAATACCAAATGTGATTTCTGTATTTGATAGTCAGGTTTGGATCCAATTCAAAGTGTTGGACATGACTTAGAAACCCTGCGTGGCTTGGCAGGGGGTTATCTTGGGGACTGTATTATGCAAAATATGTATACTATTAGGACTTCGGAAGAAAGTTCTGTTTAAGATGCAGTCTCTGCAAGATCGGAGAAAGCCATATACTAGAAAGCAGGTCGTTTTTTTAAGTTTTATTAGAAATTTTGAATAGAATAAAAATATACACATTTGAAAGAAAAATAAGAAAATGAATTCAAATATGAAAAAGAGAAAATAAAAGCAGGTCTTCTCTATGGCTGCCCTCAAATTGTAGAATGTATTGTTCCACTGCTTGACATTCAAGAAAGCAAGAAAACTTTTTTTTTAAAAAAAAAAAATGGGCATTCTATACTTAGTTAATGTCTTAGCTAAAAGACTGAAAGGGCATCCTTAGTAAATTCCATGAGACGTCTTTTTTTTTTTCTGCTGCCAAACAAGCTGTATTAAATGGTCTATGTCCCTGAAGAGTTTGTGGAGGCAGTTCCAAAAATATTAGTACCTTTGTATACCATTCCAAAAATCCTGTTTGCCAAGGTAAAGGCAGGATATGACCTCATATCATAGACTATAAGCTGCCCCCCACCTCCCCAAAGTTGCCCTGGATTCTGGACTAACATAATACTGAATAGGTGAATTACTTTAAATTCCTGAGCTTTGTAATCCAGTCATCAGGAAAATGAAACACCCACATTTTGCAATACCCACATTGTTCTATCCGTTTTGACTGCCCAGTGACAGTCTTCTTGTATGGGAGAGGAAGATGGTATTTCCCAGAAGCATTCAGATTATTTGAAGCCAAAGTATTTTCACATAGCTTCTGTATGAGGTATGGTGTAAACCCTGTTAAATTATAGAAGTTTTAATCTCTATATGGAAACTTCTCTATAAAACTACTATGACTGATCTTCTTGAGTATTATATTCAAAAACTGCAAGTTATTTCTATAAAACAGACCCTGTAAAATGGGTCATGTTATCTAGAATATTTATTTCAATGCTGTTAATGGCCGTGGTATATTTATCAGATTACTCAAACTGCCTACTTCGTTTTTTACATATTAAATCAACATGTAGGCTTTTAATTTTAATTTTCAGATGTAAAGAATTCTCTGTCTTATCCTCAAAACCTTGTTTCACCTTACCCTCTGCAATTTTTACCTGCACAAACTCAGTCTTTCTGAAAGTGGTAAATCCTGAGAAAGGGCTTTTAAATAGATAAGCAACTCCATGTAGCTTCCTATTACTTTCTTACTAGCTCTCTCTTGTGGCTCAGAAATAATTCTGGCTTTTAGCTGTACTTGGGCCTTAGACAGTAGTGGGATTCAAATAATTTAAGAACCTGTTCTCTGCCCAAATGACCAGCTGGGTAGGCGTGGCTCGGTGGTCATGTGACCATGTAGGCATGGTCAACTCAATGTCACTCACATCAATGGGCGCTTTACCTTAGTTGTTACAATGTAATAAGAGTTAACCAGAGAGGCAGTTTCTGTAAGCAGGGCAATAAAGATTAGGCTAGAAATAACACCAGAATGTTTCCTTCCTGCCTTCCTTACAGGATTAGCCCTGTAAAGTGGGAAAAAACAAAATAAGATTTCTTCCAACAGCTGGTTCTCCGAACTGCTTAGAAAGTTAACAACTGGTTCTCCCGAATAGGTGCGAACTGGCTGAATCCCACCACTGGCCCTAGACCTTTGACCATTCAGATGACGGTGTAATTCTTCCTGTCTTTGCCTTGATTTCAAACCCATAACCAACTGAAAAAAGGCCAAAAGAGTTTTCCACTTGCCAGTTAAGCATTAAAGCAGTCAAAAGATGGTGGAAGACTGAGACTCCAAATTTAGCATCTTTCCATTACAAATGGGAAGTCAGTTTAACATAAGATTCCAGTCACTAGATACAAAATCAGCATCTTTCTCTTGTTACACCATCTTGATTATTTGTTTGGGTTCTGAATCCCTCATGAATGCATAGAAATACAGAAAAGGGTCAGGATAAACCTAGATTGGGCTGCTCCAGATTTTTTAAGAATCTTTTCTAAAAACTAAAACTAAATAAAAAAAGGGAAACAGCCATCCAGCTTCCACAAAGGTAGCTGAGAAACTAGTAAAATTAACTGCTCCCAATTTGATGAAGCAGTTTTGTTCTTTGCTGATTTGTCTGCTACCGCTTTATCAAGTATTTATTCAGGCACTGCTGCAGATTAACAGTGTTGTGGCATTTCCTGGTAGGGCTCGGAGAGACCCGTGGCTGAAATTGTGAGAGGCACCGCATATCAGTGCAGAACCATATTAAGATTAATGACCTAATGGTCTGACTCAGTATAAACTTTCATTTGTTTGTACTGCTATAGTGCTGAGTTCATACTGGAGGCTCCACACATGTTGAGGTCAAACTGCTGCAATAGTTAGTTCATCAAGAAACAGGTTGGCTGAAGAGAATCTGGCTGCCCAAGTTGAAGATGTTGATCATTACCTGAACACAGTGAGAGCCAGCATTTTACTTCCAAATGAGACATTGCAAGCTCATTTAGATAAAAAGATGGCTGCTAGTCCTAGAGAAGATTAAAAAAAAAAAAATTACCATACTGCATGATTAGGATTCACAAAGGCTTAAGTCTCTGCTCAAAATTCATTTTCTTTTCCAGATCGGATTCCCCCTACTTTACCCAGGCAATCTCGTGAGGACCGACACAATTCTGGATCTAGACAGAGGCCTCATTTATTCCGGCAACGACCCGGGCGTGCCTTATACCACTTCTCACGAACTGTCCCTCAAATGCCCTCCAGGAACTGCTCTTCAGTGGGCTCCCGTGGCCACCCTTTCTTCCACTCTCCTGAACTCTCCCAGTTGGATTTTGGAACTATGCATTACTTGCCCTATAGGCCAATTGGCTTTGAGCCTTGGTGTGGCCACCAAGCGCCTCTCAGCAGAAGCTTGTTACGTTCTCAGCATCACCTGGAGTCCCCAGTGTGTGAGCCAGCCCTGCCCTCTCATAGGCTGTGTCTGCTTCAACACCAGCCCTCTTGCCAAGGTCTCAGGGCTCCCCTTGCAGCTCAGATAAATCATGCTGTTCCTTTACATCGAGGAATTCGCCACGGGAGGCATCACCACCACCACAGTAGTGGTTCTGGGGAGAGTTATCTTACAGAACCCAGTGGATACCTTCCTGATGGCCCTGGTAGTGATTCCAGTTCAGGTCCTTGCCATGGCAGCTCCAGTGACTCCATGTTGAATTGCACTGACGTCAGTCTTCAAGCTATCCATGGCAGTTGCTCTACTTTTCATAGCTCCCTGAGCAGTGATTATGATCCGTTCACCTTCTGTGGCTCAGAGAAACTGACCACCGAAAACAAACAAGATTCTTCTTCATCTGGGAAGGATTCACAGCTGCAGTCGGTAGATTCAAGGGTAACAAGTAGAGCACAACTAGCCAGTAATCATGTCCACTATCATCACCATCACCACAGGCATCACCATTATGGGCAGAAACCTTCCAGCTGTCCAAGTGGCAGACCAAACCAAGAGTCTAACCCACGCAAGATGAAATATTCCAGGACAAAAGTGGTACCAAAAAGGACAGAGAAAATGCAAATGCTAGATCTTTCTAGGCAAGGACACACTGAACTGTATTTGGCAGATGGGTCTGACATTAGCATGACAGCCAGTAGCCAAGCTGGAACTATTGGACTGTGGGGTACTCAGAAACACCATGCACAAATCCATCCAGGTAGGAGATGGAAGTGTCCTCTTGAGACGTCACCAGAGGACTCCAGCACAACCCTGGAATGCAGAATTGCTAGTAATCCCGGTGGTTCTTCTAGAAACCAGGGTTCCTCAGAAATTCAACCTCTTTTAGTAGGTGGTCCTCCTGCACATAATTTTGCAGCATTGCCGGAGGTATCAAAATGCCTAACTCCATGTTTTACCATGGAGACCCAGGAAAAGAGGGATATGCTGGGACAATTAGATTGTAAACACACATTTCCAGAAGAATGTTCAGACATGGATGCAACAAGAAGCAACACAAGCTCTTACCTCAATAATAGAGTTCTGCAAAACCTTCAGGGTAAGTTTGAACCTTTAGAGTCTTATATATCTTTATTTTCCAGGATCATTTCACCTCTATTTTCCATCTGCAGTATGTAGACGCAGTACTTTTGAACACCTTGTTACGACTGCTCTAAAATGTATGTCAGGCTTCCCCCATAGAATTCTGGGAATAGAAGTTAGTTTGTTAGTAAGCTTTAGTACAATCCTGGCTTTAGAGGATTGTATTCAATATAATATGAATGGGATGGGAGCTTTTGATCAAAGATGCCAACACCTTCAGTTTGTGGGAACTCAAGCATGACATGTTTTACTCGTTCTGCACCTTCTCTCTAGGAATCAGCACTTAAACTTCCTCTCCAATGACAATACTTTCAAGTATTGCAAAATGGAAAGCTTATTATTAGAGCATTTTTTGATAAAGGAAGCATACTCCAGTGATATGGATATAGGAGATTTATTTACATTGGTTGGGTATTGGACTAAATGATTTATAAAGTAGCTCCCAACTCAGATTATGCTATTCCATCTGAAATTTTGCTCCTGCTGTGAATTTACTATTTGTATAAAATTTATCTTTGTATGTTTATCTTTTTGTATAAAGTAGCTTGCAATAGAGGTAGTGCTTGACTTACAAGTGGTCTAATTACTATTCACAATCACAAGGCCCTCAGAACTTCCAACTATTGTAAAACATTGCAATGCCCCTCCTCCCAGTCACATGACTGCATTTGGGGCATTTGGCAACCCGTTGGCATTCATGAGCTGATGCCAAGTTCCCTGGAATCATGTGTGATTGCTATTTGCAATCTCCTCCGCCGGTTTCCTCAGAACATCAATGGGGAAGCCGGGAGGAAACATTGCAAGTGGAGGGGATTTGAGCTCTGTTCCCCCAGCATGCAGCAGTGAAATCCAGCCGGATGTATCTGGCTCGCGTGAACCGGTAGCATCATCGTCAGGATGCTCTGCCCACCTGCCGGGATGTGATTATGTCCCGTTTTTGACCCTCTGTGCATGCACTCCCGAACCGGTAGCGAAGGTAAGTGCATTTCACCGCTGCCAGCATGCCAAAGGAATTCCCCTCCTCTCTGTGCACTGGAAAGCTGGTGAAAACACTATTGAATGCCAGTATTCTGAAAAGCTCAGAACACTGCCGTTTGATAGTGTTTTAGCAAACACCATAGTCTCCATCACTCCAGAGGGAAAAATGCTAGCGAACGCCAGGATTCTGAGCCTTTCAGAATATTGTTTCCTAGCGCTTTAGTGAATACTATTGTTTTTGCCCCTCTGGAGGGAAAAATGTTAGTGAACACCAGCATTTTGAGCCTTCCAGAGCAATAATATTGGCTAGGGTTTTCTTTTTGCCAGATTTGAGGCCATTCCTTCAGTGTGCTGAGAAATTAGTCCATCGGGCTCTGATTAACAGTTCCCACAGTCACTTAAATACTGCAACTGGGAGAGCTGGGATTGCAGTCACTAAACAAAATGATCACATGGCATCTTGCTTTATGACTCCAATAAAGGAGAACATTTATAGCTCAGGGTTGAAATAAGGGGTCCTTGGTGCTCTCTGAGCCGGCTTGTTTTCTTGCAACGTTTCATTACCCTAACTATTTACTAGCACTGATGATGTTACTTAGTTAGGGTAATAAAATGTTTGCAAGAAAACAAGCAAGCTCAGAGAGCACCAAGGACCCCTGCTTAATGACTGCCTCACTCAATGACCGAGATTCTGGGCACAATTCTGATCATAAGTGGAGGACCACCTGTTTATTATAAATATACAACAAAGAAGAAAACATATATCCAGTACGCAATATAAATTTAAATATCAACATTTGGTAGGTCTACGTGTCTGTCAAAAACAATGACAAAAGTGCTATAATTTGTGGGTGGTTTCATGGTAATTAGAGATATTCAGAAACAAGGAATTTGTCAAAACAGTTTAAATACTGGGTATAATTTACTGCTCTTTCAAAAATGGGTGGATAGATTTCAAACTGAATTACTAGAAATGGCCCTAAAGCTTGGAAACTGTGACAAACAAACTTAATGGCTATTCAGAATCAAATTTAACCTCTGATAATGGTGACAGCTTTACAATTGAAAAGAAAAAGAATAACCTTAATATTCCCAGGTTTCAAAACGTTTATGACTTTGAATTGTGCCTGAGAATGGATTGAAATATGTCTTAAATGCATTCTCTTTGTTTAATTTTCTATCTATGAAATGAGAACAGTCTTGACATGACTGTAATGCCATGTCTTCAGTGTCCATTTTCTCTGTTTTGCAACTTCTTTGTAAGACCAAATCTAATGAAGATGTAATCTTACTTAAAGGTTTTATTTAAGTCTCAGTATCAGTTTAGGTTGCAGTTGATCAACATAAAAAAGATCAATTTTCTCAATCTAGTTGCTTGGTTTTTTTCTCAATTACAGGATCTTCAGAAGATATCCCCAATGTGTATGAACATTCAGTTTGATGTGAGGTGAACTTTACTCTATCAGACAGCCTAAGAGAAGAGACCAGAAACTCAGTGAGAATGGGCTTTCTTACAAACTCTTCATGCCTCTTTCGTTGGCGTTGCAGTACTTAAAATCTTGCTACATTTTCTGTCCAGACAATTCAACCCACAAGTGGTCACCTGACTGTCAGAACTATAAGCTGCCAATGTCACTTGCATTGTTTTGGGAAGCTGCCATCTTGAAGATGTTTTCATTTGTTGCAATGGAGGATCCTTACTGTTCATATTGTTCCTTAAGGAGAGTGGAGTGAAATCATTTAAAATTTTTAGGGGGGAAAAGAGCCACCATAAAGTTCATTTACATTTGCTTTTCAACTGCAAAATAGAATGCAGGAACAACCCTACACTTTCACCCCATTCCAAGAGCATCTATGATATATGCAGGTTGAAATTAGACAGAGGAATCATTCCATTTCTTTTCCTGCTATTTTTTTTTTCCTTCTGATGTGCCTATGAGTCTTGGTTCAAGACGAATGTAGTTTGCAAGAGCCAAACTCTCTTCCCCATCCTCAGCAAAGGGAGTATTGGAGGTCACTCTGGTTCTGTCTCGTAGGAATGTTGTTCCTGTTCAATTTGTCAAGAAGTCTAGAAGGTGCATATCTCCTTCCCTTCCAAATACTGTCAGCTACATCAGATAATAACATGGGAGAATTTCAAATCTGCTGCATGTGAATTACAGCTACTGGCTGTACTAACTGAAATGCCTGATCTTTGAGGAGAAAAAAGACCTAATAGCACTAATTGATGGTTATTTTATTTCTGACCATTTAGAAAACTCAGTTGAAACATGGCAGATAGGAATATTGCAGGATGCCATAAGTCAGTGATGGCAAACCTTTTTGGCACTGAGTGCCCAAACTGGAATGCGTGTGTGCATGCGCCGGAGCACTGGAAACCTGAAGACCAGCTGGCTGGTGCACGCATGCGCACTGGCCAGCTGGTCTTTGGGTTTCTGGCGCTCCAGCGCGCATGAAGACCAGCTGCCATGCCGGAAAGCAGAAGACCAGCTGGCAACAGCACACATGCCCACAGAGAAGGCTCTGTGTGCCACCTTTGACACTCGTGCCACAGGTTCGCCATCACAGCCATAAGCTAACATCTGTTAACTACAGTACAAAACTCTGTATAAAGTTCTCTACACATCTTTCAGCCCTAGATTGGTACTGATATGGAGGGGAGAGTGTTTTCAGAGGCTGGATTTGGACCAAGAATCTTCGTGCCTAGCTTCTTAAAATTGTCAAAAAATAAACTACCACCACCACTCCAGCCTCAAAAGAGATGCCCAGACATTTCTGAGTGTCTTTGCCATTTCAGTTTTTCTGAGTAGCCCTGATCAAAGATTTAAACCCTTCTTTTTCATCCTTACATCCAACACTCTGTTACTTCACAACATATCCCACAATATTATTTTCTCTTCTTCTTCTTCCTCCTCCTCCTCAGTATCCAATTGTGAATAGGTAACAATTCCGATCTGAAGACAGTCATGCTGCACTTTACATGTGGAAGACAAAGAGCTGAAGTTTGTGGAATTAGAGTTAATATTTTCAGGTATCTTTTTTTTCCTCTCTGCTCTGAGTGAATACAGGCAAGCGGTTTAGTAACTGGTACGCCTAAAACACCTCATCCTGAGGCATAATTGAATAGCAATGCTGTGATAAGTTACTAATTGGTAAATGCAACCTGTTGTCAAACATCAAGCTTTGGGATACTAATATGGTTCTATTGTGAATATGGGAAATTAGAGATCTGGCTAAGGACATTTTTCTGATTTAAAATACTCTGGCATTTTAGGTACATCCAGACACTGATTTAAATCTGACTGAGAATAATCAGCTTGCTTACCAAGCTAATAGTCCTGGATTCTCTGGGGAGAAACTGTATCAATTGACTTGGCATAAAGAGTGATATAAATCTTTACTTTAGATATACTCAGAATCTCACTGAATATACAAGACTATTAACTCCTGAAGCATTGCAAAGACATTCACCTATTGGGTAAGATTTTGAATGGGACATAGAATGAAAATGATTTATGATTAAAATTATTCCTTTCTAAAGAACCTGCCAAAGGTTAAACAGATTACAGGCTTTTTGTGAGGTGAGCAAGGAAACCAAGAGGTGCGTACTTATTACTGTCACTTTCCTCATAATGCATTGCAACTAATGAAAGAGGACCAATTTGGCCAGAGATGTATCTTTAATTTTTTTTAGGATTAATGGAAATGCAAAATATATACTCATTTCATATTTGATAAAATAACGTAAGGAAAGTGTTGATCGGGCTATATGCAGCTGTGATATTAATGAACTGGAGGTAGAAAGAGGGAGAAGAGGGAGAGCATGTTTGGCATGCAAAAAATAGCAAATTCAAATCATAGCATTTCCAGGGTGAGCTGGCTAAGGTCCCTGATCTATAGTGCTTTCCAAGATTTAAATCAGAATTGCTGAGCTACCTGGGGTTGATAGCATGATAGTGTGTCTGGGAATCCTGGTGATTAAAATCCTATGCCAGAGGTGTCAAACTCAAGGCTTAGATCTGACCTGCAGGGCTGCCCTGGAAACAGCGAAGGACCAGCCTGCAGTGCCTCTGCCAGCAAAAAAGGAGCTCTGGAGGGCCGCGTTAGCACTCGAACCACCACAGGTGCCCCCGACATGAGTGATGTTGAGTTTGCCACGCCCCCTTGCCCCCTTCCACAAGGTCAAACACAATCCTGATGCGGCCCTCAATGAAAATGAGTTAAATACCCCTGTCCTACGCCATCTGGAGAATACTAGGTTGAGGAACTATTATAGGTGATATTGATGAGACAGATCAGTAATTAATAACAGGTTAAAAAAAAGTCCCTGAAAATTCACAGAAATTGCTGATGGGTGGTTTGTACATCCTTTGATGAGTAGTCATCCAAAAATTGGATGTGAACTTGGAGACATATTCATGGAAAAAGAAGGTTCATGGCATTTAGGTGTTAGAAAGCTGTAAATGCAAGAAAACAACATTTTATGCAAAATAGGGAGTTCAGTCCTAAAATATATTAAAAAGCATCACAGGTAAGAAAGCATTGTATCATAGGATAATGACTTACGTTGCTTTGGAAGAGATTTATGTTCCTCTTGGGTACAGAACAGGAACAGAGTGACCAGATCTTTTCATAAAGGGGTGCCCCAAGTCACAGGTTGTGTGTTCTATAGAGCTACCACTGCCTTATTAGTGAGATTCAATGGGATGTTTTCCACCACACTGCACAACAGGAAGAGCACTGTACATTCACAGTGATTCTTTTTCCTCAGCCCTCCCACTATCATCACCACCCCTAAATCCAAGAAAATTACACAGAAAAAAACCCTGTGCTATTATCTCATCCTTACTGACTTTAAGACATGGACCCAACCCCTCTCTCATACTTCAAAGTTACACATTTGGGGGAAAGTACTAGTCTTTTCAGGTCAATACACAATTTCTTGTATGCTGGGAGTACCTCAAATGGAGCAATTTAGTGGCAACTATAAGAGAGACTAGAAAAACTGGAATTAACCTTGCTGTATTTTTAGACTTAAGCACTGGAAAATGTTTCAGGAGCAAAAATAGCACTCATTTAGATGTTCCAAAACCTGTCAGAAAACATCTGAAGACTAGGCACCAGTTTGGCTGTAGTTCTGTTTCAGTTGGAGTCAAAGCACAAGCCATAGAAAGGATGAAAAAACTTACTCCACAGGGAAACAGTGAGTCAGTGAGAACACATTGAGTAGTTCTTTTCCTTTCAGCACCTTCTCCTTCAAATTTCTTGAGCTGCAGTTGTTCTGCTCCTTCCTCCTGGCAACCTCAGACCCTTTGAAATGTGAATAAGGAATTTATTTTTATACTTTGTAATTACTTTTTTGAATCTACTTTTCAGGCACTTGGGTACTTTTATAAACCAAAAGGGAAAAATTATGTTTATGTACATACATATGCAAAACCAAATATTTATGTCTAAGAGAGAGAGAGAGAGATTGTTTGAATATGGGGACATGCTCAAATCTATTTATTTTGCTAATATATTTATCCACGTGTAAAGCTGTTCATGTGGCTGTTATTTTTTTTTTCTGTATAAAATCATGGGTGCCTATGTTCAAGAGATGCCTCTTCCTGTTTATTTGTCAGAAATAAATTTTTTTAAAATATCTATATGCTGGCTTGTAATATACATGAGAAATAACACTGGAAGGAAATTTGGGTATGGTTTTGATGGGTTTCCTTTAGTACTTCCTAGATTGTATAGGAACAGTCGTAGCCTATGCTTGTTTCTTGAAAAGCAAGTTTGTGACAGTAGGAGACTGCAGCAAAACAGCATAATCCATGAGGCTGTCACATTCCTATCATCGAGGTATATATGAAATAAGTTTCCTGTACATTGCATGGTATGGTCAAAATCAGTTGATAACACTGATCATCTACCTGAATCGGGTTCTCATTTTGTTTCTTCTCCATGGTTACTATGTGGGAATGCACTGGTGATCAACTCTTATTTTGAAAGCTTGGAGACTGGCAGGATTTAATGGGGAGAATTATAAAGCCATTGAATATTAAAACTCTGGTAATCCAGATATTTGCTCAGTGCTGGAGTCTAGCAATTAGATAATTTAAGAAAGATTTCTTGCTTTCTGTAGTACCTCCAGTGGAGGAAACATGAAATACGTGGCAGACAATGTAGTATAGGAGGTCAGATCTAGCACTGTATTTCTGTGGACAATTTATCCCTTTATTAAAAAAAGCTCAAGAAAAGTAATCATTAAAAAAATCATAACAAGTATAGGCTTAAAACTCAATGGTGAAATGAACATATGAATATCAGTCCTCTTTATTTCAGTCATAAAAGGACTTATGACAAACCATTCCTACAGAGCAAAAACAGGGAACATATTTTCAAAAAAAGAAAAAAAGGGGATAAATAGCATGCACATATACTATAATGCCATAGATGGTGGCTCCAATGTTGTCTCATGGTGGAGAAGCACTACCCCTAAAGGCTGACTCCATGACTTGGAGTTGCTGCTCCTTCTTCAATAGCAGATGGGAGGTATGGCTAGAGAGCCTTTACAGTGTTGCACATGATGCACCAGTTGTGGCCCTATGTATGGTGAGAGGGTTTTGCTAGTTACTCATGCCCCCATCATCAACTATACTACTGAAATTCACTCTACAAAGGGGCTGCCCTTCAATCACATTGGTCCAAATTGCATTGGCCTGTGTATGTTCATCAATGGGAGCCCATGGAGACTTTGGAGTGCTGGTGTTAATCAACACTCTTATGCAAGACCCAATCTGGGGCAGTCACTGGGACCAGAGCTTTCAGACTCATGCTGGAGCCCATCCCCAGGGAACTTCTCTCTACTATAATATGTGCTTTGGGTTATTCTATGATCTTAAAACTCTTACAACTTGGCATCAACTTTTCTTCATAAATGCAATCATCCAGTAGAATTGGTCAAACCTATTTGACTTACCATGCAAAACAACTGATGGATCATGGATATTTCAATATATGCATTCCAATGAAACTACCTGTGAGGCAAAGGTAATAGATAAATTCAACATGCACATACAGCATATACTTACTGCTATACTATTGCAACCTGTGCAATTTTATAAATCCCAGAGAATGTTACCCTAAGCGATGATTGAAAGAAATACAGGGAAGAATTGTAAGCTGCATATAAAAAGCAAAAAATTACAGCAAAGTGTTTATTAAGGATGGGGAAAAAATGATGTGCAAATGCTGCAAAAGTTAGTGGTTTGTGTTGCAAGGACACAAAGTGAAAATGGCTCTGTATCCATGGTATATGAGAAGACATGCTAACTGCTCCACATCTAATATTTCAAGGGCTGCCACAGGGAAGAGGGCATTGATTTATTCTCCATAGCATCTCAAGGTAGGACAAAAAGCAATGGGTGGAAGCTTGTCAGGAAGAGATCCAATCTAGAAATAAGGACAGTTCTGATAGTAAGAACTATTAAGCAATGGGACAGCTTGGCTCCTGGAGTCATGGTTGCTCCATCCCTGGAGGTTTTAAAGAAAAGACTTGAACAACCATTGTTCAAGATGGTAAGCCTTGGGGTAGGGCTTGGACTAGAATAGGAGTCTCCAACCTTGGCAACTTTAAGCCTGGCGGACTTCAACTCCCAGAATTCCCCAGCCAGCTTTGCTTTGCTGGCTGGGGAATTCTGGGAGTTGAATTCCACCAGGCTTAAAGTTGCCAAGGTTGGAGACTCCTGGATTAGAAGATTTTTCAAGGTCCTTTTTATCCCTATCATTCTCACTTTGGGAAGGCGGCTTCTCAGCAGGGCTTCTTGTGATTATTTTTTTTTACAGGATATACAGACTTAACCAGGGCAAAGTGATATTTGAGGTGTCTTGATAGCACCAATTGCCATCAAGTATTTTTCAAGATCGCATATTTTTAGGGGAAAAAATCAGGTTACCTAATACCAAAGTTAATTTCGAATCATTTAAGCGACATACAAAATAGAATTTAAAATATTTAGAACAGAATAGAGCTGGAAGGGACCTTGGAGGTTTTCTAGTCGAGCCCCCTGCTCAAGCAGGAGAACCTATTGTTCTATTGTAATTGTTTCAGAACAATTCAGTCCTTGTGTACGTTCGCCAGAGGCAAAAAAGAATTGGACTGTTTCGTACACAACTGTAAGGGGAGGTTCGATTTTGGCGCCAAGATCTTTTCCCTTCTCGAAACCTCGCGTGACTACAATCTGTAAAAACCATCGCTCGGTTTCTTAGAGGCGGAGCTTATGCGCCATTCAGGCGCTTGCGCACAAAAAAGCATCGACTAAGGCAACGCGCCATTGCTGAATGACGCCAGTTCCTCGTAGACAGTTTGTGCGCCTGCGCCTCTCAAGCGGTGCAACGAGAGGACTCCCAGAGCGGCACAGAGTATTATAAGACAGGAAAGCCTGTCGGCGAGGGAAGTGACGTGTGTTTGGCTGTCGGCTTTCTTCCCTTAGGTGTATGCTGCCGGTTGGTGGTGGTCATGGCGTTGGAAACGGTGCCTAAGGATCTGCGGCACTTGAGGGCTTGCTTGCTGTGCTCGTTGGTCAAGGTGTGCCTTCCGTTTAGCGAAGCGGAAATTCCTTTCTCTCTCTTTTTCTTTTTTAAAAAAAATCCTAGTTGGAATAGTACTGCGCCCAATATATTTCTAAGTTGGGTGTCGGGGATGGGTTTCCTAGCCCAGTTTGTCTCTATGGCAGGGGTGGGCAACTGTGGCCCTTTTACAACCTGTGGACAGCTGGCTCAGGAGTTCTGGGAGTTGAAGTCCACAGGTTGTAAAAGGGCTACAGTTGCCCACCCCTGCTCTATGGTGTTGTCTCTTGAAATATCCGATTGTGAGAAGGAGGCTGTCCCTTGAGTGATATAGGCCAGGGGTCTCCAAGCTTGGCAACTTTAAGCCTGGAGGACTTCAACTCCCAGAATTCCCCAGCCAGCATAGTTTGGCTGGGGAATTCTGGGAGTTGAAGTCCTCCAGGCTTAAAGTTGCCAAGCTTGGAGACCTCTGATATAGGCGGTGAAAATCATCCCACCCAACAGAACAGGCATTTCTTGTTCCCTTTCTCTCCGTTCCAGCAGTCGATTATGTGCCCTCAAGTGGTTTTTTTTGTCTTCTGGCAACCCCATGGCAGATTTTCTCCATGACGATCTGTCTCTAACCTGGTCATTAAACGGCGCACCCATCGCCACTGTAACTGAATCCCATCCACCTTGCTGTTGATCTTCCTCTTCTTCTTCTCTTGCCTTCTACCCTTCCCAGTATGGGCATATTTGGCAGCCTTCCCACACTTTAGACCTTTTTTTCTCACACAGGTTGACAAACAGAAGTTCCCCTCCTTTTTTCCCCCTTCCCTTTCTACCCTTCAATACTTTCTAAAATTATTTGCTTTTAGTTATTTGAGTTATTTGAATTTTAGTTCGTTTACCGTGAACACTGTTGAATGTGTTTAGCTTCGTAATTGCTTTTACCCAGTGCCGTTCTTCGTTATTTGCAAATATGTGTAATTGTGTTTTTACTGGTATGTGACATTTGGGATAATGTATGTAACAAAGATTGTAAGCTGAAATGATTTTAAAAAGCACCCTGAGTTCCCACCATAACAAGCCAGATTTATGTTTGGGAGTGTTCACAAAGCCTTCCTCTAATAAATGTTCTAATCTATAGCAATTATTTATGTAGAGAGTGTACTTTGCCCTTCTTCAGCCAATTTGAACATACATCTGAATAGATAAAGGTAACTCCCACCATGTTAAACTTTCCTTAGCAACAATGTAGAAATGGCTTGCTTATTGCCTCTTTATAGAAAAAAATCTGGGGTTTTCTGGTGGTCTCCCAGCCAAGTGTTAACCAGTTCAGCCTTTTTCAATTCAGCTAATGTTAATTAAGTGCTGCTATTTACTTGGATGACACATGTAAATCAAATTAATAAACTACATGTTAAAGAGTGGTAGAGATACTCGAAATACTACTATTCAGACATAATTTGCTTCTGAGGTTTCATAGAACCACCATGGTTAACTACCTTGTCAAACATCACTACCTCCATGGGCTGTTTTTATCCTTATAAGCTGTATTTACTCTTGTCCATCTCAAACTTCAGTGTATGGCTTAAGTCCCAGTATTAAATGTGAAAAAGAAAACATCTTCAATTTCTTTGTATCGTGTTTAATTTTAAAAGCCAATTTTAATATGTGCCCACTGTAACAGTAAATCTTTTCCCCCCTTTAATTTTTAAAAAGCCTTAAATTTTTGAAATTAGCACAAGCTTTGACTTCAAATTTTTTACTTATTTGCTGTACTAATTCACTAGTCATATTATTTTTAGTCTCTCCCAACAACTGTGGTTATTCAAAATGAAAATGGGAGAAAGTCGCTTACTAGTATCCGAAAGGAAAGTAAGAAAATGAATGCAATACCGTAACTGTATTGAAAAAATATTTGTAGCAACTTATTGTATTGTTGCCTTAGTTATAAAATGGGAAGGGAGTTGCAAAGGAAAAGCATGTTGAAGGGTTAAATAGAATAGAATAGATTTTTTTTTTAGTGGCCAAGTGTGATTGGACACACAAGCAATTTGTCTTGGTGCATATGCTCCCAGTGTACATAAAAGAAAAGATACATTCATCAAGAATCATTAGGTACAACACTTAATGATAGTCATGGGGTACAAATAAGCAATCAGGAAATAATATCAATATAAATCGTAAGGATACAAGCAACAAAATCTAAGGGAAAGTTAGGAAGTGTGCTTTCAATATAAATGTGAATAAATCTAATTACTTTTTTTTTTTGTGAAAAGCAATTTTTGCAATTAGTTGCAGCAAACATAGTTCCCATTATTGAGGTTAGAACTGTTTAAAAAAAGATATATTGGAACCTTAAGGGATGCTTCCAATTTAAATTTGCTTGTCATTTGGTAGCAGTACTTCTGATTTTTCTGTTATAACTTTTTTCTTCTTCACCAGACTATTGACCAGTTTGAGTTTGATGGTTGTGACAACTGTGACTCCTATCTCCAAATGAAGGGGAACCGTGAGATGGTTTATGACTGTACCAGTTCTTCTTTTGATGGGTAAGTGTCCTTGTATCAGTTCCTCACATAACTATCAGGGTTGTTTTCAGATAAGTCTTGAGGGTGAGATATCTGCCTGAAATCCAGCATTCTTTTGCTGTTGCTGGTTATAAATTATCATTTGATAAATTGGTGAGATAATAATCTTTAGCAGAACTTTTCCTTTTCAAAAAAAAATGCAACAAGCTTTTTAAAAGCTTGTTTACTGACCTTCCAGCCTGATGTTATAGTAATGTAAAAGATAAGTACTCAGAAAACCAAGTTTTTTCCATTTGCATGGTCTGGTCCACCCATTTCCTAGCTGTCAGCCACCTTAACAATATTTAAAGACTCTTGGCTGCTAAAAAGATATGCACATCTAATCTTTACTAGGCAAAATTAAATAGGGTATTGTTTAATTCTCCAGCAATGGAAGGTTACTAAAGGAATGATTATGTGCCAATAATATTCTGCAAGTTATCCATCTTGTCTCTGATTATATCTTTGCAAACATAATACCTCTTGAATTTTATTTGTATAGTTTTAAATTAGTTGTGACTTATGGTAAATACAGCAAATAGGAAATGCAGAATTGCTCTTCCCCCAAAGCTACATTTTGACTATAGTTTCTAGAAATCAAACTGAGATGCAAAATGAATACTCTTCTTTTATGAATGAATTTGCAGTTGTGCAGAGTCCGCAATGGGACAGATAACCTTTCACATTTAATGTTTTGTGTATTATTATAACAGGAAGTCTTCATTTAGCAACTGCCTTACAGTTAACAGTGGTGATGAAAAAGTAACTTTGCAACCATTCTCATCGTCTTTATGACCTTTGCAGGTCTGCAAAGGAAAGGAAAGCTGAAGTAAGATTATCAGCAAAGTTGTGGTTTCACTTAGCGACTACTTCATTTAACTACCAAGTTGTTGGTCCCAATTGTCAGTTGGTAAATGAACACTATCTATATTAGACACCTTCTTACTTGGAAAAAGTAAGAATTCAAAAAATGATACCACTGGCATTTTGTCACCAAATTTCAGCAGCATGATCTTATGTGAAGGAAGGGGGTTCAGAATTTAAAAAGAGTTGTGATGTCTGCAGTTTATAAGTTATCCACTCTTGGCCTACAGGAAAAGTGTGAATGGATTCATCAGAATTAAACAGGCAGTTATTTACATAGATTTTGAATTAGCATTATGGAGCATGATGTTACTAATAAGAAAGCAAATCCTTGATAAGATGTATACATTTTAATAAAGGTGTGGATCTCTTGAAAAAAAAATCTGTTTAAAACGTTGAGTGATCTTTACCAAAGATGTAGAAAAACTGCTAATTGGAAGAGAATATTGTAGGAAATAGCTTTCCTCCTGAATATAAGAAATAGATGACAAATTACATATGTTACATATACTACATATATATGTAATTACATATATAAACCTCCTGCTTACCCTTTTAGGAATAAACAATAGTTCATTTATCAAGTTGCTCTTGATTATACATAGTAATTTGTATAGTTTCCTTTTTTTCTTTGGGAATTGTATAAGACAACAATTTAAACAAAGAAACTTTGTTCCTAATTCTAATATAGTTTCCTTATCACTTATTTCCTTTCTGTTCTTTATTTTGGGCAACTTCTCTGCTATTGTAATTGCTTCTAGCTCATTCTGTTATATACTCTAAATATGGTTGTTGTTATGCCTATTAATATTTACTGATTTGGGGATCCAATAGTATAATTGGATATGTTGTATTGCTTTTGTTATTACTAACTTAAATGCTATATTTATTTATTTCATTAAAACCCACTGCAATCAATTTCTGGCACTTCACACAATAAACAAAAATAGTTTAAAATATTCATACTAGCAGTAAAATCGGCATAAAAATTTAAAAAATATATAGCAGTACAGTAAAATAACAAAAGAATAAAACCCTAAAACAATAAATCAGATGGCTCTTTTTGCAAAACAATAATTCCTGGAGACTGAGCCATTTACAGTCATAATTTGAGTAAGCATCAGTCAAGATAAGTATAAACAGTCAATTCAATGCCCTCCCATTTCTTTTTCTTCCATTCAATTGTGTCTGAGTCTTCCTGGATAAGTCCTTGCAGTTTTCTTGCCAAGGTATGCAGAAATAGTTTGCCATCGCCATTTTTCTAGGGCTAAGACAAAGTGACTAACCCAAGGCCACCCAGCTGGCTTTATGCTTAGAGTGGGACTAGAACTCTCTGTCTCCTGTTTCTGGCCTCATGCCTTAATAACTACGAGTGGTACCTCGGCACTCATTGTTAATTGGTTCCTCAAGGCACGACAAGTACTAAAAATGATGAGTGCCAAACAAACCATGTGACTTACCACATGAACCTTTGTTTCGGCTGGGAAGGACTTCCTGCCTGTCTCTTCCTATGCTGACTTCCTGTCCATTCTCTATGACCATCCCCCTTTTCCTATTGCAGCATGTCTAGTACTAACCAATGAGTACTGGGACAATATTTTCACGTCAAAATGCACCAAGTACCAAATCTGACAAGCTTTGAAGCAGTCGAGTACTGAGGTACTACTGTAAACCAACTACCATTTTATTCATCCTCATATAGCTTTTGGAAGAGCATATTTTGTAGTTCTCCAAAAATTCAGGAAAGAGAGTGTGGTCTGGATATCCAGGTGTAAAGGAGAGTTTCCAAATAATTGATTTTGTCCAGAATCTTTTGTAGCTGCTTCCCTAATACCTCTTTATAATTTTTACTGGGAAGAGAAAATAGGAAACTGCACCTCCACTTCTTTTAAAGCAGGGGTCCCCAAACTTGGCAGTTTTAAGACTTGTGGACTTCAGCTCCCAGAATTCTCCAGGCAGCTGGAGAATTCTGGGAGTTGAAGTCCACAAGTCTTAAAACTGCCAAGTTTGAAGACCTCTGTTTTAAAGCATGTAGTAATACAGAGAACCATTGATTTTTCTCATGGAGCCAGAAGTCATGCCCTGTCTAACTATGTGTGGACTCCAAGAGGACAGAGAGGTGGCAGAGTTCAGACTGCTGCAGAAGACTCAACCATCACTCCATAAAATCAAAAGAATCCCAGATCACAGCAGAAAACATTACTTTGCTTATTACAGTGGACAGCAGATACAAGAGATGTTGTTTGCCATGAAACCTGGGCATTTGGATGGCTAATTCATCCTGCATCCCTGCAGGTGTTCAGTTGCACCCATTTTTCTCTAAAAGGCTCCCAGATAATTTTTTACATGTCTGCCATACAGGAATTTGCAGGCACAATAAGTACAGAGAATAATTGTCACTTCAATAGTCTTATTGTAAAGTCAGTTTTGAACTCTTACCCCAATACACAGTTGTGTCTACTTTGGGAGTTTTCCTTCCAGTAGTTCCTCAGTTAACTAAGGAGTATCTTGGGATTGGCAATTGGTCAGATGTCCTGATCCAGCATCCAGGATCTTCTGCTTACTCTTGTTTCATTTCTCCTATCACCCTGTCACTTCCATTCACTCTTCCAGTCCTCCATTCTAGTTCTTATAGTGCCTCAGATTCCATCTTTGGTTGTCCATCCTTCATTTTTATTTTGTAAATTTTGAACTGACTTCATATTTCCCAGAGGGGTTGAAATCTTATTGCTGCTGTTTTGGCTAAGCAAATCTCTTCCTTTTTTGGGTGTGTATATGTATGTGTGTGACTTTTTTCAATTTTCTGACTTTCCTTGTCTTCTTGCAGCATTATTGCAATGATGAGTCCTGAGGACAGTTGGGTCTCCAAATGGCAACGGATCAGTGAGTTTCCATCTACCTTATATTTAATTATATAATTAAGATGTATTAGACAGATGACTGCATTCAAGTTTGAGAAAGATTGAGGAATAAATTAAAGACAAATAGTAGATTGCTGAAAGGGAAATTTCTGTCTACAGGAACAAGTAGGTCACATTACTGATGTTTTTCAGTATTAGAAGCTTTCTGCAAGAGGGGTTCCTCCCATGCTGACAGCAGAGATGAAAACTTCAGGAGCTGAAATTTGCTAGCAATTTGGTGTTGTAAGAATTTCTTCACAACAATGTAACAATTAACAAAACATCATTATGGTCCAGGAGTGAAACATCGGCCCATGGAATATGCTTCACCTGTGAGAAAAAATTTCAAAACCCAGGGACATTCTTAGTTACATTTTTTGAAGGGACACTGCTAGTATTATTCAAAATGATTTCTTTGAATTTGGCACTATGAGCTCAAAAGCATGACATTTAAAAGGGTTAATTGAACATTTGAAGCTTAACTGTCCATTGGGAAATATAGTGATGAAATTATTTGAAAAAAAAGATAGTAGACACATTATTTGCATGTGTATTTGTTGATAGTTATTATTTTCAGTCTCTTGGAATTGTATTTACAATTTTTTACTACAATTTACAATCCTGAAATATTTTAAAGATAAACATTAAATCTGTGGTGTAACATTCTTCAGTTGTGAACTTTTTAATGGTCTTACTTAACACTTAACTTTGTACAAGGAATGTAATTTAATGACATGCTCACAACAGCAAGAATAAATATTGCTCAATACTTGAAGAAAAATATAATTCCGATAATAGCTAATTGGGAACTTAAACTTGGACAATATACAACAGTGGCAAAATTAACACTATGTATACACAATAGATGTTTAACCAAATTTGAGCAAAAATGGTTTCCACACATATCATGCAGCATGGCAAATATAAGCATTTGTAATCTGACTTTTAAGAATGCCAAATGTTTATAAATATGGTAAATTAGCAGATGCACAAAAAGGGGCAAGTTAGAAATTGAATAGTCTCTTTTTTAACATTCTGGCTTGCTTTGCTTTTTTCCTTATCAACCTGCACAAAAACATTAGATAACAACACAGTGGTAACCTTAATGCTAACTAAACAGTTTAAGACCAAAATTTGTACTGTTTTACTGTTCAGCAAATGCTTTGAACATTGTGAAGCAGTTTTTAATTGTTAATAATCAATTCTGGATGTAATAGGCAAATAGTTTTATGTTCATTAATATTGATATTTCAGTTTGTAATCAGTATTGGTATATTATTTCTTTTTTTATCCTCAGTTGTCTACATTTATGTAAACATTAGAGCGTTAATTATCTTCAGTCAGTACTGTGCTGAACAAGTATCAAAATAATACAATGCATTTTACAACAACACAAAACATATTTTAAAAAGCTTTCTGACAACTGATTAAAGTAACTTAGATGGAGAAAATAAGCACATGACATGGATACCCTTCCTGAAAGTTATATTATTTAAGCCATATTATTAAGCAGAAGACCCTGAGTTCAGATCCTGCTGTAACCATGAAAGCCAGCTGGATGACTTTGGGCCAGTCACTCTCTCATAACCCAACCTACTTCCCAGGGTTGTTGTGGGGAAAATAGGAGGAGGAAGGTGTGTTGGATATATTTGCTGCCTTGAATTATTTGAAAAATAATAAAGGAGGGATACAAACAAATAAAAGCATTATTTTGCACTGCAATCCTCAGCAGTCATAATTCACATTTGTTCCTGCTTTCTTAGGTAATTTCAAGCCAGGTGTCTATGCTGTGTCAGTGACTGGCCGTCTGCCCCAAGGTAATCCACAGGAGCGATCCCCAACCTTTACGGCTTGGTGGCCTGGGGGTGGGGCGGCGGTGGAGAGAGGGGAACTGGGCTGTGCAACCGGTAGGCCAGCGTGTGTGCGTGAGTACATGCTGGCCCACCACTCACACAAGTTGAGCCTCGCACGAGTATGTGCCAACCCACTACTTGTGCAAACCAAGCAGCGTGGGTGCGTGCCAGCCTACTGCCACGGCCCAGGGGTTGGGGACCCCTGATCTACATGAACCTCTTCAGGAGGACTGGGATTTGGACTGGAACTTTTCTCCTTTCTAAAAATCCAACAATTGGAATAGAAATTTGTGCCCTGTTTGCTGCTGAGCCAAGGACACTGCGAGGGCTGCAGCTTCAAAGACCAATCATGGCTCTCCTTTTTTTAGCATCATTGTAACTTTGAATGGTCACTGAGCAAGTGGGTGGTAAGCAAGGATTAGCTGTACTTTATCCAAGTCCATTAAATTAATGGATATTTTTTTGTTGTTGTTGCAGGCATTGTACGGGAGTTGAAGAGCCGTGGAGTGGTCTACAAATCTCGGGATACAGCCATAAAGACCTAAGAATACCTTGTTTCTCAAATATGTCTTTCCAGCTTCCTTTTTTTGTAAATGCTGCCATATGGACTATTCTAAAGATATGGAGGATGATCTCTACATGGATCGGGTTTTTATTAAGGACTTTTAATGGGCTGCCTACTAGTGGTTCCATTTTTCTGGCTTTGAGGTCGATATGAAGGGGGGGTTTCTTGAAAGACTTAAGGACAGAGGTACCAGTAATTCCCAAGTGTTTCTGATTTCTCTTAGCTGTTTTTAATAAATTTGGTCATAGCATCAGAAATCTGCGCTCTGGCTTTTGCTGTTACAATTTTTTGTCTTCCTGTAATAGATGAGGTTTTTCTAGCCTGCCTGGTCTCAATTTGTAGGATTTTCTCTGAGAGGAGTATTACATATTCCATGAAAGACAGAAATAAGATTTTCTCTATCTTTCATGAAATATGTAATATTATTTTGGATTCAAGACTTCCATGTTAGTTAAATCTTTAAACAATCTTTTCCTCACTTGGCCGTATTTTTGCATAAGGGAGCTTTTTGCACAAGGACATTTCTGAATCAACTCATTTTTTTTAATATGCACTGAACTGTAAATTAATCAAATGGCTTGGGTTCAGTCAACATACTAAGACATTAAAAGATTGGTCTATCCATACCCTGTAAGAGCAACTAAGAGTGTAATAGACCTGTGTAAACACAGCAAAAATTGGTCAGATTCAGGATCAGCCCCCAATTCACTGGGATCTTGGCATACCAAACCTCTTTCCCCTTCAATTATTGCTGGGACAATTATGTCAGGAGAGCTGCTGATGGGGATCATCTGTCCATATGATGATCCTGGTTAGGGTTATATGTGCATCTTTCCCTACTCCTAGCATCCCACTGTGTATCATCAATTTTCGGTTGCTCTGAGCAGCACAGGACACCAGTAGTTTCAGCAGGGGACCAGCAGAGATCAAATTGCAGGTTGTCTGCTGCCATTTGTGTGGCATGAATGATGATCATTTGCAGGGGACGTCATGGGGACAGGAGGAGGAAGAAGTATTAGGTATGTTCACCACCTTGTATTACTTATAAAACCTAGTAAATAAATTGATGGATAATACAAGAAGGTAATATTTTCCATGATGGGCCACTGCACTAGGGGTGAGGGTTATGGGTTACAGGTTGCTTGCCTATGTCTTAAAACATGGGTGTAAAATGGTCGTGTTGGTGCTACACACAGTCTCTGAAAGCTGTAAGTATGACTCCAGAGTCCTACGTTGCTATTGAACTGTCATGTTTGGTGTGAAAGAAGGAAAGAAGTAAATACATTGGGAACAATAATATTAATGGCAATGTAATTTGCATTACATGAAATTAAAAATATTTTTTTTGCCCTTCATTTCAGTGTCTTTATCTCATTTGTTCTTTGAAATATGCTCACTGGCACATCATTCAACAGCCAGACATGTTTTTTTTATAAATGTATAGTGATAACTTTCCACAGTCAATAAAATATAAGATTAACAGTTGGAAGGGATCTTATAGATCATCTAGTCCAACCCCCTGGCCAAGCTGGAGACCCTACACTAGTGATGGCGGACCTTTTCGGCATCGAGTGCCCAAACCGGAATGCGCATGCGTGTGCATGCACTGGAGCACCAGAAACCCGAAGACCAGCTGGCCGGCGAGTGTGTGCCTGTTTTTTGGATGTTTCAGGCTGTTCTTTGGGCCTTTTTCAGGCCATTTTTTGGCCGTTTTCAGCCTGAAATATGGCCCCCAAAACAGCCTGAAAATGGCCCCAAAACAGCTCGGAAAACAGTCTGTTTCTTGGCCATTTTTTGGACCATTTTCAGGCTGTTTTCTGGCACTCCAGCGCCCGCGAAGACCAGCTGGCTGGTGTGCATGTGCGCACCGGAAACCAGAAAAGCAGCTGGTGATGCCGCAGGTTCGCCATCATGGCCCTACACCATTTCTGACACATGGCAGTCCAGTCTCTTCTTGAAAGCTTCCAGTGATGAAGTTGCCTGGCATATACTAATGAAATATTTTTAATTGCTTTTTTTCTTATCCCCCTCCAAATATGTGGAATATCCAACTAAAATATTATTTTATATTAGATCAGAATCACTGCTCACTGGAAACAATTACGAAGCAAAAGTTTAGCTACCTTGACACGAAGGCACAAATCACTGCAGAAAACTCCAGTGGTTTGAAAAACTGAAGACGGTTGACAGGAGACAAGATAGCTAATACCATCATTGGTGGAGACAAACAAGCATGAGTTTAAAGCCTCAGGAAGTAGCTGTCGGCAATCTGGAAAAATTGTGTCATGAAGAAGCCACTGAACAACAGCAAGAGGATATGAGCGACAAAGCCTCAAAGCCACAAGTCTTTCTCTTCTACATTTATACGTTCACACCCACCATCCTAATTCTTTTGGGAATCAGCAACTTTATAAAGCACAGAGACAGAGTAAGAACAGTAACCCCCAAAATTGAAGGTCTGAGATAAGTTTGGTCTTGTGATTAAGGCACCAGGCTAGAAAGTGGGAGACTGAGTTCAAGTCCCGCTTTAGCCATGACAGCCATCTGGGTGACTCTGAACCCAACCTACCTCACAAGGTTATTGTGAGGGAAAAGAGGAGGAGGAAGGCAGGCTGGATATGTTTGTCACCCTGTAAAAAGGACAAAAATGAGATTCAAAACAAATTAAGAACAATTACTGTCTCCCTATTTTTCTATCTGCAAATCCTCGCCTTCACCATTTCCATACACTATTTTTTTTCCTCTAAACATCTTTTTGATGATCTTGCCACCTCCATCCAGCCACTTCTTCCATCTTCTTTGCTTCCATTTTTCTTTCCGTTTTCATTATATGATCCAACCACTTTAACGTACAGTAGCCTTTCATAGTTGTTTGTTGGTCCCTTTCGGTTTCAATCCATATTTATTTCTATCCTGCCTTTATTAGGAGCCTGAGTGGCGCAGCAGACTAATGCTGTTAAAGGTAGTATTTAGCTTCCAGCTGCCTGCAATTACTGCAAGTTCAATTCTCACCAGGCTCAAGGTTGACTCAGCCTTCCATCCTTTCTAAGGTAGGTAAAATGAGGACCCAGATTGTGAGGGCAATAAGCTGACTTTGTATAAAATATACAAAAGCATGAAGGCTATTGCTTAACGCATTGTAAGCCGCCCTGAGTCTCCAGAGAAGGGCGGCATATAAATCAAAATAAATAAATAAATAAATAAAAATTATTTTTAGAAATAAGGTGGCAAATATTCAAACACCCTGCCTTCTTTTGGTGTTCATATTTTCACATGGTATATGGAGGCCCTGTCAAGTAATAGGCATAATCTCTGCATTTCGAATATAGAAAGATGATCAATGTTTAGGGACAGTGGAATAAGATGCGTGAATAGTAGCAATTCATGGCAACAGAGATGGAAAATTATGGGACTCAAAAGATTGGTGGTCCTCTTTAAGTTTTTTTTTTTCTGCCACTTGGAGGCAGTACCAGACTGCCTTTTTTTTTTTAGCATAGCTTGCTAACTGCATGTCTCCAAGAGACTGCTCCAGTCTTCTGTACAGTAAATCAATGAGATATACTGATGGTTTCTGCAACTTGCGCTAATTTCTAAAAGTGATGAATGACTGACCATCTAGATCAGTGTTTCTCAACCTTGGTAGCTTGAAGATGAAGCCATCTTCAAGCTTCAAGGTTGAAAAACACTGATCTAGATGATATCTGTGTTGGAGATCACTAAGACAGCCACTTTTTCAGAATCTAAGAGAAAGCCTTGGCAAAGACCATATGTAATATGGCCCATAGAGTGTGTGTGTGTGTGTGTGTGTGTTGCCCTGCACATACGCACACACACACACATACTATGGGACATATTACTGTTTATTGGGGAGGGAGGGACTCCAGTGTACAGGGCAATATTGCAACATTGCATCAGAAAAGCATCATTTGTTTTACTGGGCCTTTGATTATTTGGAGGATAAAGGTAAAGGCAAAGGTTCCCCTCGCACATATGTGCTAGTCATTCCCGACTCTAGGGGGCGGTGCTCATCTCCGTTTCAAAGCGGAAGAGCCAGCACTGCCCGAAAATGTCTCCGTGGTCATGTGGCAGGCATGGCTAAACGCCAAAGCCGCACGGAACGCTGTTACCTTCCCACCAAAGGTGGTCCCTATTTTTCTACTTGCATTTTTTATGTGCTTTCGAACTGCTAGGTTGGCAGAAGCTGGGACAGGTAACGGGAGCTCACTCTGTTACGCGGCACTAGGGATTTGAACTGCTGAACTGTCAACCTTTCGATCGACAAGCTCAGCGTCTTAGCTACTGAGCCACCGCATCCCTTATGGGGATATATATTTGGGGGGATAGGGGATTGGAAAGGAGATCTTTTCTGTCCGTTAGTATATGTATTATTTCTCCTTTTATTTAATATATATTCTGAAGTTATTTTCAAATGATTTGTAGAAAAATGCCAAGAAAATATAAACATTTATGGTGTAATAATAAATAATTGTGTTACACCAATAGCACTGTACTATTAGCAAATATTATGCCTCCGGGAAGACAGGTGCAGAAGACACAACAATATAAATATCTGGGCTGCATATTGAATGATAGATGGGATTATAGCATGGACAGAAAGAGCAGGATGAACAGGTGAGGGTAGCTTTTCAAGAATGAGTAAACTTGTTTGCTCTGGGACCTAAAGACTGGAGCTTCGCTAGTCAGAAGTTGTTGTCATGTATAGCAAATTCTTTCATATGGAATGGAAGATGAGTAATGGCTCAAATCACAATTAGTAGGATAGATGCCTTTGAAGTGCAGATTTACAGAATACTTAAAATATCAAGGAAAATGTAGAACGTGTGTGGGAGAAAGAAACAACATACATCCTTGCTGAAAAAACATGTTTGTGTTTTGGCAGAAAGGCAATGGCTTTATGTTGGAGAGAAACATCAAAAGAACATACAACATTGTTGGATACCAATCTTTGAAGAAGAAGGCATTAAAAGAAGAAACTGTGTGGGACTCAGTTTTTGAAATGTGTCAGATCTATTCTAAAGATCAAATGATTAATTTACCTTAGACACGAATTCTTATTTCTGCATAAAATGAATAAAAATTGGGGATATTCTCTGGAGTATGAACATAGTCCTCGACTTAGCACGACAATTGAACCCAATATTTTTGTTGCTAAATGAGAGTCTCCTGCTTGAGCACGGGGCTGGACTAGATGACTTCCAAGGTCTTTTCCAACTCTGTTATTCTGTTAATGAGACAGTTGTTAAGTGAGTTTTGTCCCATGTAATGACCTTGCTTGCCACAGTTGTTAAGTGAATTCCTATAGTTATTAAATTACCAATACGGTTGTAAAGTCAATCTGGCTTCCCCATTGACTTTGCTTGTCAGAAGGTTGCTGCAACCGTCATAAATATGGATCAGTTGCCAAGTGTCTTAATTCTGATCATATGACCATGGGAATGCTGCAATGGTCTTTAATGTGAAAAACAGTCATGTCACATTTTTCAAAGCTGTTGTAACTCTGAACGGTCACTAAATGAACTGTTGTAAATTGAGGACTACCTGTACACAGGAAGTACGATTTTGAATTAAAAATCCTTTGAATTGACAATTCTGTGTTTACATGCAGCTGTTTAGACTTTGTGAGTAGTATATGCAATGCAAACCACGAATGTTACATTTATTTTGATACAGTTGTGAACATCTCTCTATGCAACTTGATTATTTTATGATGGATTATTGTTGGCTGCCTGAAGCACTAGCTATGGTGGAAAAACAAGATACTAAATTAAAGATGTCTCTTCTAGCATGCCAGAAATCTAGGGAGCAGGTTTCTTCCACAGTCAGGATTTTGATCATTAGCTAGGTAGTTATCAAGAACAAATGCAATATAAATAGCAACACCATTTTTTTAATATTCTTGCCAAACTGGCAGAATGTGGAGGGAAATTACATAAGGGAACTCAGGACTCGGTCTGTCTGCAGAATAACTCTTTGAAAAATCGACAGAATGGGACCAAATCTGGTGCTGGGGGAGAGGCTGGCAGAAGAAGATGTTTCCTCATTTTCAGAAGGGGGAGAAGGAAACCGCTGGGTTTTCATGAGTGTATCATAAAGCAAAGGCTGGGCTGCACAGTTTTATGTCGCTGCTCATAACAGGGCTCAGCCTCTTCAGAATCTGGATTTTTGGCTCATCCGTGCTGCCTTTTAATGGGAGTTATATTTGCTCACAGTGGGAGTCATCTTGCCCCGCTCCGCCTTGCTTTGCTGCCTTTCCTTTGAGATGACATGGGGGGGGGGGGGAAATGTAATTACTGGGTATACTTTTTTTTCTTTCTGGGCCAGAGAATGTCTTTTA